GACCTCGTTAGATATTTCATCCACAACATAAATGGTCAAGTGTAATGTCCCTCATGTATGTCCCATGTGGGGCCTTCGGGGTATTATGAATAAATAAAGTGGTCACCATACCACGTGATAAGTGGACGCTAAAAAAATACACCGTCTCTTTTCCAATTGCCCGAAATATTTATCGAAGCCCTCAAAGAATTCGCAAGCTTTCCTCTGTACGGCCAGCTGTTTACATTAATTAAGCGCAGCAGGAAACGAAATGGAGGTGAAAATGAAAGCACAGTGCTTTCTAGTGGGCTCCACAGATGACACGGTCGCCATCGAAAGCACTGCATCACCCTTCGATGAGCTTTTGACTGTCGCTAAAACTAGCAAAAACGTGCTAGACAGAAAGAAAGAGTGCAGAGACATATTCTGGAAGGTTTTAGATGATCTAGATGCCTATCTTTTCTTGGCTGCGCAGACCATATGGTCGCATTCACACTCGAAGTGAATTTTTTCATTGTTATATACAAATGGATTTTTATGCGAGGGATACGAATTTTCGACTAGAAAACAGTCACAAGGTAGCTGTAGCAAACAATAAACCTTGTTACTTATGAGTTGCACGCACTATTGTATTTTTATGTCACCGGCCCGTTATACGCGTACATAAAACAATATACCTTGCACGAAAAGCCTCAGTGTCTATTACTTCAGCTATTTGCTGTTTCTCACAGAGTGCACAAAGCAAGAATACCCTTCTTACTTGAATACTTGGTGCTAAGAACAGCAGCGCAATGTAAGTGAGTGAGATAAACAGAAGCGACATTCGTAAGGCAGCATGCCGCTGCCTTGCAAAGCTTCCATAGCAACAATGCCGATTGTGGCGGAAGCACCACCTCATGAGAGGAGACTGCAGAGGGCCACATTTTCACGTGGCTCCCAGACGCAGTTTTACAACTGATGGGATCTAGTAACGTTGGCTCCACCTGCGCGGCGCAGCTAGCAGACGCTCTCCTCGTCCAACGCTGTTGCTGCGAAGTGCTTGCGCTCGTCAGCTAGTATTACGGTGAGATTTTTTCATGTGAAGTTATTACCGACTTTCGAAACACAACGAGAGAACATCGACAGATTGACAGACTGAAAAATTTATTGGCAAGCATGTTTGGACCCCCTCAGCTCCTTGGACCACCGTGCAGTCCCGCGCCACGTCTACACGGCCATGCATGCCTTCGCGGCAATGACATCAGCAGACCGAGTCATCGCAGCAAGCTGCAATGCCGAGTGAGGGGACATCAAAATGCTATTGCGCTTGGGTGGCGGCGAAAAACAACTAAGCGCCACGGCAGCCTTTATCAGGCTGCTGACGGCTGTGGATATCTACCGGCGGGATGACGTGCCGAGAAAAAACACTTTCTCGAAGCAAGTGGCACTGCGAAGATCTGCATTTATTAGTGAAAAAACGTGGCAATTGCACACCAGCACCTCAAGTTGAAAATGCACGCCATATTTTCCACACACAAAAAATGCCACATTCGGGGGACCACGCCCTTGCGCACAATCCAATAGCGTCTCCAGCTAAAAAGCACGAATCCTTCACCGTGGTTAACATAAACGCGTTTGAAAACTACTTCAAAGGAGCTGTAGCAAACATTACAAATAAACGCAAAAGTTAATACGTGGGCCTAAGAAGGATGAAAACTTAACAATTTCAGCGAAATGCGAAAAGATGCCCGTTTACCTTACAGAGTCAACACGATTTGAAGTCATCCCAGCAGATTCTATGCAGCCAGACCTTCGACAGTGGCGCGTCTCGCTTCTCATACGTAATCCAAAAGTACCTTGACGTCAGTTTAACGTATGCAGCAACTGCAAGTGTACCGAAGGGGAATCGCTAACACATACAGACAGAAACCACGCAGTAGAAGTGCGAGAAAAAGGCGAAGCTCATCGCCTCTATTTCTCGGACTCTATGAGCTCTATGGCGGTGCCCAACACATGCGAAGCTCATCGTGTTGGGCATCGCCATAGAGCTCAAGCCCAAGAGAAAAAAAAAAAAACAAGAGAAAACGCGCGTGAAGGGCATGTGATGACGTTCAGCCAATGGGAGCACCGAGCGTCGAGGGAAGTGCAAGAAAGGACAGGAGAAAATAACAATAGATGCCGTTACTTTTATAACAGCGAAAGTTGTTATGAGATCACAACTTGGGTCACGCGTGTCGCCGCAGTTGTCTGCCGTCGCCAGTGTCCGTAACCACTATCACACGAAATAAGAAAAAAAACTTGGTAAGTAAAATACACCAAGGACACAGTGAGGCTTAAACCCAGGTCTGCTGCGTGCCAGCCCAATATTCTACCACTGAGCGACACTGGTGCTTAGTACATGTTGGCAAACTTGCATTAGGCATGCTTGATGTCGGGTAAGCAATCGCGTCAATTCATAAAGCGTTTTAAAACAGTGAAAGAACAACGAGTCATTGCACAATGCGAATAGCGTAACGATGTGGGTTGTCCAATGCTTTAACCCATTACAAAAACTCGTTCTTGTTCACCTATTAATTGTTGCACATACCCACTTCAGGCATAATTCCTCATCGTCGTCAGCCACTGCATGAGCAATTGGCACAAAATTCTTTGCAAGTGTTTACCATGCTTCTCAGAAGAATGACTAAAAATACCATAGCAAATGTTGGCCTACTACCCAAAAATGTTTATTCTTAGTGCCATAGATATCAAGCAAGTGTGCTTGCAGCAGTTACCCAATAAGTGTTTACAAAATGCTCTAAAAGGCCGCTCTTCTAGCTTTCGCTGTGACTATGCTGCGCCTTCCGCGCAGGCCTGGCGTTTTTTTATTCAGGGGCTTTAGTGGGTCAAGGCGATAACTGGGCAATGACTCAAATCCGCGTGTAGAAGGTTATTGCTGCCGAACCTCGCTTGTTTATTATGCTCGATATGCACATGTACACGGCCGTCAATAAATTAATACACTGCGACTCTGGTGTAACGAAATCGATTTCCTAGTTTTATATGCTGCTCATTTGCTAACAGTGTTTTTGTCATATAAATGCTCAGACAGCAGCAAATATTGGCCTAGAGAGTGGTCGCACTCTGACGCGACAACACTAAAAAGCATCTTTCACTGAAATTCTGGTGTCGGCGGAGTCGTCATCTTTGTTTGGAACAAAAAAGCATTGCACGTAAGAGGAAATTTGAGGTGTTTGCAATAAGGATACCAGCATGCTATCGATTAGGAAAGAGATAGTCTGCGTGCGTTTGTGCATGTATGCGAGTGCCTGTTCATTCATCTTCGCCATGCTGTGGAGTCGCTGTCTCAATGCGCAATAAATTTAGCGTACTTTCAGCAGTTGCATCAGGCACTTCAGATGCAGTGGGACCTTTTGGCCCCCATTGTTTCCAAGAAGTCGGCAGTAGAGCCAGCCATTTTTGCTGAGCTTTCCTGGTTTTAGGGGCGAAGCTCCTTAAAGTGGCACCCGTTCATCCCTCGTAGTCGTAGTCGTAGAGTGTAACCAGTGTTACATTTTGACCTGCAAGGTGGTGCCGGTTGGAGATTTCTCCTGTGCTTTGTTGAACAATAAAAAGTTCGTGGCGTGCGCGTTAACTAAAAGCCAAATGCTCCTATCTCTCATTCCCCATTAGCAGCCATTGGCATGTACATTGAGCACTATCTAACAAGAAAGGGTTGCTACGTTTTACTCGCTGAGTGTAACCTCCTTAGTTTTAGAAAGGTTTAGCGAGCGTTGAGCCGCAGTGCCATGAATACAATGAACTAGTATATACCATGAACTCGAGGTGGTTAAAGGTGGGAAGTAAGTAGACCCGAAGCGCAAGCCGTAAGAAAGTGTGCATGTGCCACCTCTCGTTTAGTCATTGGATGCTGGATGGCGGTGCTTCTATATGGGGAATATATGATGAAAAGATGCGAGATGGTGGTACTTGGATGTTGAATAGATGGACGAACGGACACACAGACAGATGCATGGATGGACGCATGAACGGATGTAGGGGCGGACGCACGAACAGATGCGCGCATGGACGGGCGGATGGACGCATGGACAGACGGAAGCAAGAACGAATGCTTCGCCCCACTCTCCATCATTCACTCCGTGGATATGCTGCCATTTTTTTTTTGCTGTTCGGTCAGGTAATCTGCACAGCCCGGTAATATGGCAGCCTCAGCATACGAAGTGAGCATAGGTTTCCTTGGTGTATGTAACAGGACATTTCCTTTGTATCCTGCACGATATGTGGCAGAAATCGCTTCTTTCAGGAAATGCTTCGCGCCCGTATGGTCAATAGGCCGCAAGGCTCCGTCAGCTTTTGTAATTGTCCGTCGCCACTTATACAAGCGCTCTGGTTCATGCCGAGCCTTGAAAAGCGACACACACTCTGTACAAGCTTCCGATACCTTGACTTGCAATCCGGGACAAAACATCACTTGACCATTTCGAGGTGCAACCAACGACAAGGCCGCTCATGCGTACTCCGAGTCATATGCAGCGTCGAGGTATGTGTACAGTGGAACCACAAAGTGCGAATCAGCAAGACGAATGCCCTGGCAATACTCACAGACACAGGAAAGCATTTCTAAATCACAAAATCTTATGCACAGAAAACTTTCAAGAAGATGTTCTTTTGCGCGCGAATACATGGCACGCCATACAGTAGCGCAATCTCAACTCGCGCGACAAAAACTATTCAAGGTTATTGGCGAACACAATTTACCTGGACCCCCTCCTTACGTGGAGCGGCAATTGTCAACACCTAACTTATTTTTACACCAAGACTGTGAGTGACCTGCAGGTTGTGGTATTGAATCCCTGCCGCATTTTAGATGGGGTAACAACGCTTGAGGCCTGTGTACTTTGACTTGTGTGCAAGTTCAAGAGCCCCAGGTGGTTCAAATGTTTAGGGTCCTCCAGTACGGCGTTTCTCGTATGGTGGTTGTGAATTTTTAAAGCCGAACAATCATTATGAAAAAGCAAGGAGGAGGAAGCAGAGATGCCCACCATGTGCGCTTGGTGTCGAAGAACAGCACGAGATAGACGGGCTCTGGGTAGTTAGCTCGCAGGCCGAGCACTTCTTCCGGGGGCACAGGGATGGGCACACCATTCTGGGTGAAGCCGCCACGTGGCATCTCTGGGTTGATGATGAGCGCCGGGTACCATGGGTAGCCACGGCACTTGGCCCACACCAGGTCCAGTGGCTCCAGTGGAATCTCCGGCCGGTCAGGCCCTGTGCAGCACCAATTCTTGGTTAATTTTATTGGACTTCATTGACCCAAAGTCAATCAAACCACCAAAGGGACTGACAACCAATTTTTATAGACCATGGTTTTCCGGCCCCAACGCCGGCATGGCCTACAATTACGAATCTGTAGTTTGTTGACTGACTGACTGTTTTCTTTAGCAGAAAGAAAGCTTACCCGTTGGAGTTCCCAATCACACTGTGGTAATGCAAGAAATAACAGGAACCATATACTGTCAATTTTTTGTCTGCAGCACTGACGACATAGTACATGCAACACGTGCTGTTAACAGAGGTAAGACAGCAGGGTAGTGGTTCATGTGCTGTGGTTTATTGTGCATGTGGCGTTGCTCCACTAGTTGCCATAAAAGTTGCTCCGTGTCAACTCCTTTCAGTACTTTATAATATGCCCAAAATTGTGGTGTGCCCAAACAACAGCAGGCTAAATGTAGCAGTCTGAACAATTCATTGACGCAGTACCAAGGCTAGTACTGGCAGTAGGCAGGCAACGCAATGTATTGTTTTTGGTCTCTTTCCAATGCCATTTTGACATACCACCCTTATTCAATCTACAAAGTGAATGCTCTACTCTGTCGCTGTCATTCAAAGCCTTTCACCAGTGCTTTGTGACACATTCTGGTTGGTCCATTCAATGAGCTTGCCATGCAGCCGAAAAGTGTCGAGTTGCGCTTGTCGTTTAGTGTGGCAAATGGCACTCATAGCGGGTCTGTGCTGTTTTTCATAAATTATTTCAAGGTATATGCCACTCACACTGGCTAATTTGGTGTCATTTTGAGCAAGCGCAATTAGGTGTGCCCCCAGGGTGTCAATTTGGCAGTGCACTGCTACACAAGAAAAAGTGTACTTGAGAAATCATGGTAACGGTGATGAATAACTAAGCAGCACAGCAGATATTTGTTATTTCAGGCAATGTTTATTGAGTAATCATGTGTCATAGCTATAAGTAGCCCTTAAAATAAACTTTATGCAAATGCAGCGGCCATAGCTATTGCACGGCATGTGCAATGTTTATAAACATAGAATGTTTATAAACAATAAATGTTTTATAAATTACAATTTCCAATAACAAAAACTATAATTAAAAATGTACAACGAACTCAGCCTCGGATAGTAAGTTATCTATTCTCAACTACGGAAGCTAGACACAGCGTCATGGTGAAGTGAGTTTGGCAAACACCAGCAAGTGCGCTTAGTAGTGAGCGTCTCTCAGCATTCGCGTGTGGATACTAGCGGCAAAGTGCACTCCCTGAATGAGCACTTTAGTTGGACCGCATGATATCAGTACCCTATAGCTTAGAACACCAACTACTTCCAAGTCAACCTACAATGCCAGCCTAAGCTAGGCTTGTCTAAGTGTAAGGCCTGAAGACAGGGAACATGTAGTGCAGTCGCAGTGAATGTTGCAGCAGTGGCCCTTCTGGAGCCCACTGTCGATTCCCTTGGGGCGACTACTGTAAATTCACTTGCAAGGTGCGCCCCTAATCATCGGAGAAGGGAAGCACCCGCTATGCCATCATTCTGCAGAGTAATGATGTCCCCACTCTGTAAAACATTATGTGCACTTCATTCATGCAGTAGCTGGCAAGTATTTGTTTCAGATTTGTAACCTTGGGGTGGGGTAGAAGGAGTAACAATTTTTCGCAGACTTTTGCGAAAAATTCAGTGTCTTTATTAAAATGTCTCTCTCAAACTGAGCACATTTAAATTGGTCTATACATACTTCCACGAACCTATTTCTGCCTTTGACTGCACTTGAAGAAATATGTTTTTTTTCTAAGCAAGGTACTAGATAGGCCTAAAATGTTAATGCACTGCATTTCAAGTTCTTCTCAACAAAAAATTTTTAGGCGAGTTTTTTTAGGTAAGTGTGATATGAAATGCTGCACACTGCACAGCTTCATAGAAGCCTGACAGTGATAGATCTGTACACATCTGGCCTCAATGTCTCTATAAACATATCTTTAAGGGGCCCTGCAATACTCTTTCAAATAACCATGGAGTTGATTGCCTTACGAATTGACTGCAGCAAAAATTTTAAAAATCCTTTCACTACGAGCGGAGTTGGAGATTTTGCCACACACTTTCGGTACTTTTTCTCTCCTCTTGTCCCAAGAAGCGCACTGGAAGCTAAGCAGGGAGGGGAAGTTACATGAAGTGCATATCATGACCTTGAACCTTATTCCATAGCACCACTGCACAATGTGAGAATAGTCATGTTGGAAAAAAAACTAATTTCCATGCAGTGAGGCATATAGCCTGCAGCAATTCTTTATTAGAAAGAGGACAGTCACTCTCTTTAAAGGGACACTAAAAAGAAACAATGAGTTGTAATATATTGAGAAAATACACTCTGAGAACTCTAATGTCATAAGTCTCGCTGTTCATTAGCAGATAAAATCCAAGATAGAAGTCTCATTTTTAAATTTTCCACATTAATCTCTGCACGTGACGTAAGATTTTCCACAATGAATTTTTTTTTGTTTTCGTGACATTAGCTCGATGAAATTTTCTGAGGCTTCCTATATGGTACCCACAGATTACAATGTACTCCAAGTTTATCAATTAGGAGCCACGTAGGACCCAGCAGACACCTTCAAAATTTATGATGTCAGTGTTTACTGCGAGAATAGGTGTAGTCTCCAGCCGCAGCTTCTTTTCGCGCGTTTTCTTGCTTACCAAGTGTCGTGTTGCGGTAAGAGTGGTGTTTTTCGGTATTGTGAAATCGTTCCTTACTAATGCGCAAAAAATCGTCTTGCTCTTTACTGTTCCTTTAGCGCCCAGCTTACCTTCAGTAGGGGCCCACTTGCTGAAGAATATACCTGTTATAATTTTTTTCCCCCGCTAAAACACCCTGGCCGCCATGGTAGCTTAGTGGTCAAGGTGCTCGAATGCTAACCCTTCAGGATGGAATCCTGGCCATGGCAGCCGCATTTTAGACGGAGGCAAAAATGCTCGCGTGCTTACATTTAGGTGCACATTAAAGAACCCCAAGTGGCTGAAGTTTATGGAGCCCTCCACTATGACATCTCTCATGATCACGTCATGGTTTTGGGATGTTACACCCCAAAAATTATTGCTAAACACACTCCTTCATCAAAATTTCAAGGATGGGGGGAAGGGGAGCTAGGGTACTACCCTTGACTATGGGCCTAATCTCCGTCCAGGTCAACGAACTAATGTTGGTGGCTGTATCTCACAAACATTGTAATAAGTGCTACCAAAACTGGGCCAGCAAATGAACGTTGACTCTAGCAGTGACTTATTCAGTTACAGAAAGACTGACTCTGCCACAAATTCTGTTACATGTTGCTAGGATACGGATGCTGCCTGAATTTGTACTTTTTATTAATATTGTCTATCCCTTCCCCCCTTTTTTGCAGGAATTTACTGCAGCTACAGGCTTAACTTGCCTTACCTTAGAATAATGGACACAGTCATTGTTGATAACCAAGAGACAGATATGCCATGATCTCCCATTTTTTACAATGATTTCTTTCAACCACAAGTGATATTATTTTCAACTTTTAATAATTTTTCATAACGAAAAATAGAATATGGAAGTGGCATTACCTCAGCTTAATATAATTTTCTATAAAGCTGGCTCAAGTTTTTAGCTAACTTTGTATTAAATGAGCACATAACACTAATGTCCCGAACTGACTGACATTTGTGATTTTTACTTGAACATTTAGTTGGTGCTTTGCACTGACAGCATTTCAAAGTAGTTCTTGCCCAGTGTTGTATTGAGCACAGATTATCTGCAAAATCTGAGGAAAGACAGCCCAGTTGTAGCTTGAAAGGTCACAGAGATTGTGGGAGAAAGAGCAGGTGATCTGCATCAAGTTCAAAGCTACCTGCTGCGTGAAGAAAAATTATACTTTGCTTGCATACCCTAAATAGCCTCTTCTACCCATCAAGTACAGTATTTACTCACATCATTTGCACCGTTGCTTAATTTGTGCGCCTCCAATATTTAGCCAGCTTTACTAAAAAGAAAATTGCTCGCATATTTTGTGCTCGCCAGCGTGCGCACTATATACTTTTGACCTATGGGTGCTTTGGACAGGATGCCAGGGCTGAAAGGGTCAAGTTTTGCCATTCGTCTGTTGAATTTTTACTGTTCCCTTGCAATGAGCTACAATTATATGTACAGTGCTATTCAAGCTGCCACAGAAAACAGAAACCATGCTGCCACCAAGCACTTCAGCTAAAGTTATTCAATGTGTGACGCTCAGTACACACGCTTGTTAGAACAAGTTTCCTGCCACTGAAGATGACTTTTTTAATTATATCTGCAAAAGCTTAAGTCCTTCAGGGTCGCTTTGTCTTGAGACCTGGTATCTCCCAGCATAGTCCAGAAGAGCTTCAAGAAAATGGGGCATTTGAATGGGCTCAATGGAATAGAGGGCGGCGACAGTGACTGCTACAATTCCCAATCAGACCTCACGGCCAGTGGCTTTGATCAGAACGCACACAGGACCTGGCTGGTTAAAGTACGTGCTAATTCTGTTAAATAAACAGGTACACTTCATTGGGGCTCCAAATTATTTTCTCTATTTTTTTAATGTATATACCACATGCGTTAGAATGACTAGATACAACTGCACAGTATTTCGGATGTGTTTGCAAAATGTCCATGTAGTTTGCACACCCTTTACTGAGCTCCAAAATCACATGCACAAAAAAGTGCACAAGTTATGCGTGTAAATATGGTAATATGGCCTGTAGCTAACATGCCTGTGTAGCTCATGTGTTGTCTGAAGGATGTACTTGAACTCAAACATGAAAAAAATGCCATAGGGCAGTCAGAGCATCACAATAATAGTTGTCAATGACTCCATGCAGGCACATACAACAAACCATCAAGGTTTCTGCTACTTGAGTGATAGTTTCCCACGGGGCACAGTGACAGTAGAGGAAATTTTCACATGAAGAATTTAAAATGGTTCTAAAGACATGTTGAAACCAGACAAACTTAGCTGCTTGACAGAGTTCTTTCTGGCTGAACCATAATGGCAGCGCAAGAGAGTGATCTACCTCAGGTCAAGCTGGTTTGTAATGACCAATGGAAATATTTATAACAACAGTTTATTGACAAATATATACATTCTTAATAGGAACACTGAGATCTAACCCACTACAATTCAACAGTGGAACATTAACAAATTCCTTGGTGCAGAAAGAAAAAAAGTGTCCGTCTAGTAGTACACTTATTTGACCTAAGCTGGCACACACACTTGCTTCGGGCTCTCGTAGATCGTCCGACAGACGGACTCACCGGGGGCTTCATCTGGCTCAGTGGCTTCGTCCGATGAACTGCTCGACGCCGACTCGGACGACTCACTCGACGATTCTCGATCAGAGTCGCTGCCTTGTTCATCTGCGTGCGAGAGATTGCCGTTTTAAGCAAGCAACACTCACACTTAATCACAAAGGCAATAGGTGTGAGCTAACTCCTAGACAAATATGGAAAACCTAGTTTGTTTCAAAAATAACTGTTTTGCGTAGCGCAATCTGATTGTTAACAAAAACGTTCTACTGCACATGTCAGCCCAATTTTCATGGACAGCTTTCGCATGCGTCTCCAACAGTGCTATTTTCATCAAAGAAATGTTCCAGGTTGCCCCCTCCTCATGAAAGCACCCATGCCAACATCATTAAATGACATTAAAGCTAGCGAGATATTATAATTTTCTTATTTGAAAAAGCACTTAAGGAGGAATGTGGCAATGAAAATTATCTGTGTTATTTATGAAGCTAAAGGGATGAAATTCGGCATGCAAATGCCATTTGCTGTACTGATATCATAACTGGAATCGGTTTTGAGCTATATAATATAACTTTTGAGTTACACAAGATTTGATATACTCTCATTGTCATTCCAAAAGTAATTAAATTAGCCAATTACACAAAGTTTATCAAAATTTTTGCATAAGTATATTCACAAGGGTCTATTTTGCACCATAATGCTATTGGTTGATTTTTTTTTATATTTGCGTAAGCACACAAAAATTTTTTGAAATGTCCTGGACATATTGTCTTACCAAGAACTTTTACAAAAAGCCAATTGCAAAAGTCTGTATGATATGCACACAAACATGGACAGCTTCACGGCACTCACCCATGTCTCAGAATCTAAGTGCAGGAAATGGAATGGCTATAGCTTAATTTGTTGTGAAATGGCACAGGAATGACTGACAGCAACTGCTCAAAAAATGATAGCTGAGAAAATGGAGATAAAAGCTGATCAAAGATAACTCGGAAAAACGCATCTTTGTGGCTATCTTGAGCTCCAATCTGTCCTCTTTGTGATGATGCCAGTGTGGTGGCCCTGTGCCAAGGGAAAGCTTCAAATTTGCATTTTGCTATGCCCAATTTTTACATAGCTTTTGACGACAGCCCACCAGTAAAATGCTTGTTTCTCAACTTCTACTACTTATTTTGGTCTAAAATCACACTTTGATGTAAAACATGGTCTCAGGATTACAGAAACAAATCAATTGAAAAACTGAACATTTTGACCAAATTTACAATTTCCGTTGTTACGTCCCCCCTTAAACCTCATTATAACAATGTTAGATCATTCAAAAAATTAAGTTTGTTCTATCTGAATATTTAATATAAAGGTTATTCCTAACACTCTACCTATTTCAAGAATATTTTTTTAGCCTTTAAATGCATTGAGATACCGTATATAGTCACGTAATGAATGCACTTCTTTTCCCACAAAAATCAAAGCGAAATTGGTTTTCATTATGTGGGGCAAATTTTACAACTTTTTTGGGATGAGCAAAAAATGTGGTAATGGAAAAAACAAGGAGAGAGAGAGAGAGAAAAAGGTTAGGTATGTCACAATTAGATATGTCACAGCGTCCGCATATGTCATAATTGACATACGCGGACGCTGTTTGGAAACAGCTTTTTTGTTGCACTTCACTGATCTTCGGTGGTTGATCATCTGCAATACTAGCAAAGAGGCTACTACTCACAGGAGCGATACACCTTGAAGCTATCAGTCTGTGGAGGGAAGCAACCCAGTGGACCCGGCGAGCTGCCCTGACTCCCGGAACGACCACGCTTCCTTGGGCCTGCACACACACCATTGTGGCAGCGCTGTAGTCGTCTATATACCAAAGGTATGGATTGCAATCAACCAGGGTTGCTAGAAACCTTGCATTGTTTCTTTCACGGCTTGGCTGCAGTGCAGCTTACCTATGCTGCCAAGTGCTGCTGTCAACATGACAGCAAAACATCTCAATTGGATATAAAGAAATGAATCTCAAGCATGGCTGATCGTGATTTTTCAAATTAATGTTGTTCGTTAAATTGAAAATTCAGAATCTTGAATGGTCAAATGAAAACACTTTTATTATTAATAATATATTGTAGACTGTCATTAAATGGAACCAGAAGGAACCAGGAAAATATGTTTCCTTAAACAGGCGTTCGGTTTACTGAGAGACAAAAACAGGGTGTGGAATTCAAGCACAAAACCAAATGTGCCAGAGGCAGCTGTTCCGTTTAAGCAGCAGTTTTGTTAAGAGATTCCCATTTACTGAAAGTCTACTGTATATTTATTTTACCTTAAAGGATCTATTTTGGGAACAGGAATGATGCCAACTGATGCATTACCTAAATGAAAGCATGCATTATACGTAAAAAAAGTATAACAAATCATGATGCAGATATTCAGTGCCAGCACTATGATTATCTCGTGAGGACTTCATTAAACTGTCTGGCACAACGAAACGTCATGAGACATGTGATCCTTGCAGCACCAGAGCATCGCGCTGCTCGGCTCTCAGCAATATCTCGCACAGCAGTAAACCAAGTTGCCCACATACTTAATGGCAGAGAATACAGGGTGCCACCCGAATAACTGTTGCTTGACGTAAAGTAGCCTTCGAGCATTCCAATGCAGGAGATGCCAGGTTCGACTGAGTGCCGACTGAAAACTCGTTGCCTTTTCCTGATGGATAAAAGAATACACTGACCTGGCACTCGCTCGTTTTGGCATACTCATCTCAAAAAGTAGCCTCATGAGGTTATGCGAAGGCCTTTAGGCGTACCTTGAACCACTACAGCCTTGGTGAAATAGTTGAGAGTTGAGCAGTTCCCGCTGCAGTGGGAGGCAGAGATTTGCTGCCGCCAGGCACCTACTGGTACAAGCGCACTTCTCGCCGGGTGCTAGGCAGAACGCATTTCATAGTGACGTGGGAGGGCACCCACCCCATGGGAAATCGGTGGCATGGGACCACCAGACCTAAAATTTAGGCCCTCCTCTTTTTTTTTTTCTCCTTTTTGTGCTTGATGACTACAAGTCATCATTGATTACATTGGTACAAAATTTCAGTACTACACTTGCCAATGGTCATTAAGGGTTACGAGAACTGAGGTGGTTCTAATTTTTACTGGCCTGTAGCCTTTAAGGTTAGTGGGTGCAAGAAGCACGATTTTCTTCGAAAAAAATTGATTTAATGTTTTGTGTTCCTCTAAGCCTTCTCCTCAATATATTAAATGATCAAAGCTGAGAATCAACTAGAAGTTATCAAAAATGAAATAAAAACATGCGCAGTGGCTTGTGGAAGTGCGGAATTACCCGATTTTCTGCATGCAGCACTTTGCTGTGCGGCGTAGTTGGCTCTTAAAATTTCGCGGGAATGTAGACTTAACCTTCTTCTCCCAAAGCCTACTCTGGCAGCGTGGCATTCTCGTTGAAAATCCAACAAAAATATCGTTTCCCCACTGCATTCCAGCGTGGCGAGTGGGCTGTTCAAGTCACGTGGCATGATTCGAGCCTTGCCATTGGTTGCTAGAATTCCGACGTGCATACGGGCACAAGCGCTCTTTCTTCGCTCTCCTGCTTTTGCCCAGACGAGACGACAGACACGACCACCCAAGTTACTTTCATCCCACCGTAGTAGTGCCTATGGATACCGGCGAAAAATGTCGCTTTCGTTCACTGTAGTTTATGACGAGGCACCAGTTCAAGGAAAGACGCTCCAAATGCAAACAGAGAGCTCGAGTGATGGGAAGTTCGTCTGCTGCTAGGCGTAGCCCCGCCAATGGCGATGCACCCAATTTGGATTCTTCGAGTTTCATTCACAGTGTCATTGACTCCCTCAGTGCTTCAGAGATAAAAATGAGGATGTTCGGTGACAGAAGCAAGCGTCAGAATGACTGCAGCAGCACATTTATTTGTGAGATTGACTCGATGCACAAACTCGTCAGTGGTGCAGTATGCCCTAACTGTGGATGGTGCGAGCTGTCTGTCTGAGAATCGGCAGATAGACGAAAAGATCTGGCATCGTTTCCGGAACTTTATTTTTAAAGCTACAACTGTCAATTCATCGACGTACATGTGTCTGTATCATGCAGTGAAAGGGAAGAGACATCCACCAGCGGCAGCGCACGGGACAGCTTCACCGTGAACGTGAAGTCAGTGGTCGCAGCGCGTGCAATCGGCGTCGGACACGGTCAGCTTGTCCGGTTTTGCGCGATCCTTGGCATTCCAAAAGCAATGCATCATAAGACTTTCATGGCTATTGCCAAAAAAGTGCTCGCAGCCGCCATTAAAGCCGCTGCCAAACACCTCGCACGAGCCAAACCGCTGACGACAGCCGCCGCCGGATGAACAATGTAGTCGTTATGTTGGACGGAACATGGCAAAAAAGAGGCCACAGAAGCTATAACGGTGAGGGTACGGCCATTACCCTTGCCACAGGGTTATGTTTCGAGGAGCTGTCAAAATATTGCCTGAGCTGAAGGATGGAGAAGAAATCTGGCAAGCCTTTCACACACCCGTGTGGGAAAAAAACACGACCTGTATATGGAAAAGGACGGACTTCTAACCCCTCTGCAGTTCACAACGTTCCTTTCTGATGAGGACAGCAAAGCATATACTGCCGTGAACAAACTAAATCTGTATGAAGGTGTTCCCGTGCTAAAAGAGGACTGTACAAATCATGCCGCCAGTGAAAGGGGCAGAAGTTAAAGAACGCAACAATTCACAAGCTGCAGGGCTATTTTCAAGTGGCAATTACAGGGCTAACTGAGGCAGTGTTCGCAACATGTAATGTACTGTCTGGGCATCCTACTTCCACTCTTGCTCAAGGAATGGTGCCAGCAGTCACAAGTTTTGCCCAGACGGTGACACGTCTTAGTGCAAGCACAAGCGAGCACAGGCGCTGGGCGAGCCAGCACCACCCCACACTCCCATCCTGACTCCTTCCCAAGCAAGGCAGTGCCGCTGCTACTGTACAGAAGGCTGACAGACGAAAAGCTGCTCCAGCATTGCGCGAAAGGACACAGAATGCAGCTGAATCACTCAACAGCAAAATATGGCTCTTGTGCCCAAAAACAAAGTTTGCGACAAGAACAGTGGTTAAAACAGCGATGGCAATCGCTGTGCTTTGGTTCGGCCGAGGGCACTTTGGAGTTCTCCCGTCCAAGGAATAGGTATCTCTAAGCAAGGATGCCAAAAAGAGGCACATTTCCAGTATGACAGAAAAGGTCACAGCCAAAGCTCCCATTGCCGCAGTACTGAAAAAAAAAAGAAAACAAAAAAAAAGCCCGCCGGAAGAAGGCAGTTTGCAGAGACTGCCAGAGTGCAATATATGATGCTGGATTATTCTGAAACTGTTATTCTGAAACTTTTTCTAAATAGCTTTGCTGACATTCTTTGTGAATTTCATGCAGAATGGTTGAAGAGTATAGTATTAAACATGTTTTTGAACTTTTATACCAGTTTTTCTCAGTTCCTCATTTCTTGACATTTTTAGAGTTTGTGCACTAAAATTTGTACGCTTTATGTAGTCGGATTCCAATGAAACTTGGCATGCTTAAAGTTTAACATGTCCTGAATTCAAATAAGCAACTTTCAGATGTCTATAAAGCATATTCACCTAGATAATTTCAAAAGTTTATCCCTTGAGTATAGTAAAACTGAAACTCAGCATTAGAATTTCTAGGCCAGCACTATGTTACACAATGTTTCTTTGCTTTATTGAATTCCTCCACTCATTAGGAGCAACATTTGCTACTTTTTGGAGCTTTCTTGTACTTACTATTGTTGCCTAAGCTTGCACAAAAATGCATTGTTTTTACAAATGCATGGTCTGCAAAAAATAACTAAATGAGCGATAAAAAAAGTAATAAAAGCTGATTTGAAAAGAGCAGCTTGAACTCTATAAACAGTCCAAGTTTCATTAAGCTGTACAAGTATTTCAGGAAAACGTTTTCCTGAGGAGAATTTCCCCCTAACTCTTTCATTACCATGCCTATTCAAATCAATCACCGGTGATCGTCGCTTTTAGATCATCAATTTCGTTATGGTAAATTTGCTTCTTGTGCACCCAGCACTTTCTTGTAGTTAGTCAGAATCAATTTGAATTTGCCCATTTTGGCAACATAGTGATTTTTAACAGACCTTCGCGCAAACCAATGTGTGTGTATTGTTGGAAAAGTGCACTAGGCTGGCGAACTTGACAGAAGTGCAGGCCCACCGTGTTTATGCTACAGTAACATCGAAGTTCTGCAATGAAAAGAGCCTTTGCAAGCTTAATATCGAATTAAAGTGTCAGCTTCGCAATTTGACTATGTTGAGCAGTAATAATTGCCAGAAATTTATGCCAGGTATTCAATAGAGAGCTGTTCCTAGGAGTCGGGGAAAATTTGTTCTACAAAAAATATTTACAAAGGCCCCCCGCGCGTTTAAAGTGTCGAGGTGGCCTTCTCTGACAGTTTCCAGCTGCTTTGGTTTTGCTTGCATTGTTATATCTGACACAGGGTCGCATCTAGTGTCACTAGTCGCTCCTATGACGTCGTCGTCACGCCCGCATGGGTGCGCACCTGTGCTGCAAAAAACAGGCGCCGCTCAGAACTGTGTTGCAACTGCACCTGAAATGAGTGAGGACGAAGTTAGAGTTCGAGGATGACAGCACCTCAGCTTTATGGTGACGAGTTTTGCGTCAGCTTGAGACATCCGCAGCCGTTCATAGGTTTGTTTTGATTGCGACTTCAAGTTGTCATCTCTGCCGCAAGTGCGTAGCTGATGACCTTTGTGCACAATCTTATAGCTACTATAGTTACGTGTGAGGTCCACAAGTCGCTGGGGCGCAGTTTGCTGGCGCCGGCTGCAGAAACAAGAAGGCCACCGGAGCACATCATATGCCTTACCATTGAGCAGCATGAAACCTTTAAGAACTGCATACAATATTGTTTTTTTTAATATGGTGTGCAAAAAAATGCAAAGAAATATGCTTAGATGCATATATCGGAATGCTAACCTATGCGGAGTGAGGTGGCTCACGGATAGAGACGTAACGCTAGAAGAAATAGCGAAGTTCATTAGACATCTGATTTATACAGGGATTATTCGCATCACGGGCATAAATCCTATATTGGAACATCTGCAGGCTCTTATCACAAGACAACAAAAATTTACCGAGAAAAGTGTACGAGCACACTTGCGTCTCACGAAAAACCATGCAATGCTTCACAGCATGGCACGAGCAACGAAGCAGCACCAGGCTCCGATTTTGTTAGCCTATGTGAAGATAAACATTTTGTATAACATTCATTATTTTTTATACTATTCCTGGGTTATTTATCCACAAAATGTATATTCTGAAATTTTTTTTGTTTTGAAAATACTTTTGCATAAATAGTGTTTTTTATTTCACTGTTTAACAGCTGGCGACCAAAAATTGCACACTTTTCACGTTTTTATTCATTCTAAAATATTGTGACTCTACAACTTATATTTTTTGCAAATATAATTTCATTGTGCAAAGTTTGGTATGCTACAATGCGTGCTGGAGTACTTTTCAAACTGGCAAAAATTATCTTCCTGAGACATATGAAAAAAAAAAACCATTTTTGCGTGGTAATGACATAGTTAAAGGGTTAATTTAAATGCAGAGATTGGGCAATGATGACATCTCTTTAGGAAAAAAAACTTTGTAGTACCCTGAACAATGCTAGGATGTTTCGCAGCTTTTTTTGAATGCTTCACTCATAGAGCAGTAACTGCTTAGCACCCATGGCTTCGTCACAAAAAGACTGAAGTAGAATGATGAAATTATGGTTGATCCGAATTTCACCATCACACATACTTAAGGTTGTTTCGAACAGACGTATGTTATATAAAATGCGTTATGATTAAGTGTTATGCAAACAGTTTCCCCAGCCACTACGATTGATACAAACATGCGATAGAATACTGCATGCGAGCACAGTAATGGCCGAGGGAGGATTTACACTTGGCCTCGCACGGAGCGAACGCGCCGGAACTCACTGGAATTTCACTCGCTTTGCGTCCTAGTTGGCTGGAATAGCACGCCGCGACGTCGACGAAAAAAAATCGGTTCGAGACTAACTTTTCCACCACGGGATAGCAGATCGTCTTTCCGTTTCACAGCTTTGGCTGCATCAGCTCAAACCAAGTGATGTAAACAACCGGCCGCAAGTTCAACATGGTGGCTTGCATCGGTGCTGTTGCAAACTACACATCAGCACGACAAAGATCATGGCCTTGACAAGGATGCATTCATCAAGAGCCCAGTTTGGAATACAATCGACGAGAACACTGCAAGGAGAAGGGGCAGCAGCAGCAGCAGCGAGTAGGCAAGACCCAACATGTCTCGCATTTACTTTTAAGCCAAGTGTAAATGCACCTTAAGCATTAGTGAAAAAACTGCAACATGGTTATAATCCTTTCAGGCGGTTTTCTTAAGAGACAGCAAAGGCAGAAAAGTTGAAAAGAATATCTTGGACTTTTTCAGCTAGAAGTAGTTGCGCCAATAAAGTTCTTGTTCATATGCACGATCAGCTTTGTTTTAGTCAATACGATTTCGAGATGGTATAAATATATTGCGTGCTCCCCACGAATTTCCATCATCAAAATTCTACTTTACTGATCCCTCGACTCACCCGGAGTTGGATTCGGTGCAATGACAGCAGCCGCATTAGTGGTGGGAAGAGTGCTCTGGTCCAGCGCTGGTTGGTCGGCAGTGACTGAGGACGGGGTCCGACCTAGGCGCCCTCCACGACCGGCTGGCCCCCTCCCCACAGAGCAACGTTTCTTGCGGAACAGCACACTTGTTCGCCGGTTCACACCAGAGGGCACTGTGGCTGGGACAGCTGCAGCCACACATTCGTATAATCCCACAACTGCTGCAATCCATCTTTACATCTTGCCAAGGGGAACAGGAGACAGCAAATAGTGTTCTGGCCAAACTTTGAATCAAATTGTTCGCAAATGTTGTCATGGGACATGAGCATGAATATTGCCATGATGCACAATATTTTAAGGAACTATGCTTGAGAAAATCTTGCTTCTTTTGGTTAGAAGTAAAATCAAAGAAAATATGTCACATTTTCAGATTTGCCATACCTACCTTACAAAACCTTGTATATCACTTTCTTAAACTAAAAAAATCAGTCACAGTCAGGGGAAAATCTAGCTACTCATTCTAAGGAGCGGATTAGTTTCTTTTTGTTTTTACTAGCACAAAAACATCATAGCATAAATACTGTTAATGTGTGCTCAAAGTGGTTCCACTCATTTGTCCTAATTGGTGAGAGCAAGTGGACGGCAAGCAATGAAGAGGGGAAGAGGTGCTGATCGACTTTGAGAGAGGAGGATAATTGCCCCCTCCCCTGGATCTGCCACTGGTCACAGTGCAGTTGACACACGCATTTTGCAGAGAAGTGTGGCTTCACAGCAGTGCGGATATTTCCTGAACAAGTGGTTTGATGGCATAACTGCCCCATGCTGCGGCAACACCACTTTTTCACGGGGTCATTGTGGTTAAACACATCATTAGTTTACTCCAAGTACTTCGGAATCTTGAAAATTATAAGTATGTGTAAAAGTGGATTCGAATACTCTAAAGTTTGTAGAAATAAAGAAATGCTCAAATATTTGCTAAGCCCTAAAGAATACCTTCGTTACATTCGGTATATCTGTTATAAACAGAGATCAAGATGTCAGTGGGGAAAGAAAAAAAAAGAAGTTCTATGTCACACTCAACCGCCAATAATGGCTACAAATGTAAACATAAACATAAATAAATGTTAACAAAATGTCACCTAATGTTACCAGCTGAAACAATGCCTTTCCCATGTCCTATATGTGGGTCATTTCTGAAAGGTATTTGGTGTGCAGATTTGAAACACATTTTGATACTGATTTCTACAATGACTAAAATCTGAACACCGATTCTGAATTATAGAGTAATGATTCTACATTGTTATTTCAACTGTGATAGACTGCATTAAAGGAGGGAAAAAAAAAGAAAAAATGCTTGGCACCAGTTAAGCACCTCCACAGCTTACCTATCGAACGACAAAATAATCCGAGTACTATTTAGAAAAATTACAAGACTGCCACGTAAGGCCGCGGATTGCAAAAGATAGCACGTGACCCAGGTCCCACATATTGGCACAAGCTACGTTCAAACTAAGCGGGCTCTCCAATTCTTACGCCTGTGGGAATCAAGCTAGCCCGCCACCTTTGCGCGGGCTTTGCCGCCCCTTTATCCGTTCTCATGTCCCGACATGACTACCCTCCTCCATGGTCTGCCGCACTGGGAGAGCAGAGAGGGACATTTAACCCCTCTCACCTGGTAGTGCATGTCGACTGCGGTGCTGCGCGCAGAGTCACCAGAGAGATTGCGCGCGCATGTGTCGGGGGTGAGTGAGACCTCTCCGGCGACGACATGGGGGTAAACACACTTTTCTTTTCCGTCCGTCGGCTCCCTTTGTTTGAGGCTCGTTTGAACTTCACCAACAGTGCCTTGCGCCCGTGGCGAACGCTTACCTTATGTCGCCCCCTTTTCGAACGCTAGGTCGAAGAACAGTACGGTGTCCTAGTGCGTGGCAAAGCTATGCCCACCCGTATGTCTCCGAAACCAACGCGAGCGCCTTTGCCTTTGCTCGAGCATCTGGGCCTTGGTCCCGGTGTCTCCGTGAATAACTTTTACCACGGAGACGTGCTCGCGGCACCCTGTGTAGTACTTTTCGCTCGTGGCGTGGATAAGCCCATTTGCTTTCCCGCCGCGCCTTTACAACGAGCTCTGTACTGCACTTTTGGTATTGCCGCAGACAATAAAGTTTTGGGACCTTGAGCAGTATTGTATTCTCGTCACGGCGACGGTTAACGTGTGCCCTGCAACTCGCTAAGACCAATTCCACGCTAGTGGCTGTAATCTTTCGGGATACGTGTCACTACACGCCTTCTGGATAGTGGACGGCGTACTGAGAAAACAGATCGCCAATTCAGAAAGTAGCACGTGTTAGCACGAGCCATACAACAGCAGACACACGAGATACTCAAGAGAAAGAAAAGAAGACAAGGTGGATGCTTTTGAACAGACCGTTGGCTGGAGCGGCCACATAGACTTTCTGTTGTCTATTTCTTGGGCACAAGTTCGCCCCAACCACTTGGTTTCATTAAAATGTACTCTTTCCTTCTGCGTTACAGACCCGGGTCCCACATATTTTAGACCCCCAATTTGGGTGAATGATGTTTACTGAGAGTACGCTGTATCGGAAAAATGTGTGTTGACAGGATTTGCTATTTTATTTAGTATCAGTACATTTCAAGGCATGTGCAAGCAAAAATTTGACTCTCTTTCATTGCTATGTCACATTTGAAATTTCTAGATTCAGAGGAAAATACCCTGTGAAGCATCACCGACCATATTTTGCAGAGATATGGTTATGCTATATCACAATTCTGCATTCATTTTATCTAGAGGCTGAGCTGTACACTTGCAAACTGTAATTGCACAGGAACAAATAAAAAGATACAGCTCTACCGCAGAGGCGAAGCAATGAACGTGATAGCAACAAATTGGAGAGGTCAGGCGCAGAATGGCAAACAGATCGAAACGTGCCCCGCGTTTCTCACGCACAAATGACACATGAAACGTACTGACAGGGACAGATGAACGCAAATAAGCGTCTTAGTTGTTACTTTGCTGTGTCTGAAAAGCGTGCCCTTTTGGCAAACAAAGGCTATGTATGCAACGATTGCAGTGATCTCGGTGCGCTCCACAACTACAACAGAATCGTTCCAGTGCAAGCCCAACGTTAGCAAAGGCGTATGATCCTCCCCACCAGGAGATAAGGGTGCGTGAGAGATCGTCCGCTCTCCTCCGCTAAGCAGGCCAAAGTGCGCCTGCGAGATGAGGGCTGCCGCGTGCTCACTGCGCCATCTTGCTGATAATGCTGAAAACAAGAGAGTTCCTCCCATACCGCCCCCCCCCCCCCCGAGATGCCCGCCAACAGCGATAAGTGGTAGATATAAATAGCTTGCCGTTCGAATGTTGATGGAGGTGCCCCTCGGTGGCTCAGTGGTTAATGTCTCGCATTCACAACACGGAGGCCCCACGTTTGACTACATGCACCGGAGTCTTTTTCTGGGTTTTTTTTCTTTCTTGCATTTTCATATATATGGATACACATACATATATGGTGAGTGACGGCGACGCCCAAGGCAGCAAAATTCAGCCGAGAGTGCCTATATAATTGCAATAAAAAAAAAAACAACAGTTTTTGCTATGACTTCTCACTTGAATGTCTGCTGCCTCATTTTCCTGGTATTTCAAGTAGCAGCCTTGCAGGACCAGTCAAAACGGTCACGATGTTTCAACTCCACAACCTCCACACATGCATTGAAGGGGGGCAAGAACGCTTGCATACAGTGAAGGCAATCTCCAGAATTACCCTTGCGCTGTGCTTCGCAATCAAATATAAATTTTTAAGTAGTGAATTTAATTATGTACCTATGTCATACCAGAAACTTATGAATGAAAACTTTCTCTATTCCACGACTGCATGCAATGACGTGTATCCTAAATGAGCAGTCTTTTTCTTGAACCTACAGCACACAGTTTTCATGTCATCACACATTGATGCCTTCGGGTAGTGTTAGCACTTATTACCATTATGAGATATTTATTCCAAGTAGCCTAAATCACAACTCTCCTAACTACGATAGACTCTTGTTAAATAGAGCCTGAAGGGTCTAGAGACATGTGTTATGTTTAACAGGCGTTCCGTTCACTGAAAGATGAACAGAGATGCAGCACCTATGTACGAAACCAATTATATTATATGCCGTAGTTGCATTTAGGTAGCCGTTCTGTTTTAGAGATTTCCGTTCATTAAGAGTCTACTCTAATAAAGTGAGCTGTTCAGTGACCATGGAGCTTCTGCCAAAGCAAACAGATGTTGAAGATCACTTTGCCTACTGTTTCTGGGGGGCTTCTTAAGCTGTAGCAGACATGTGCGTACACACACAGCACTTGCCTTCAGTAGAAAAGTGTCCCCCTAGGCGCATTCCAGTTGAGTATGTCAGCGCTCTGAACACCTGCGTACCGTGGCTAGGAGGCCTGCCCCGACGTGCCAACCCCGATGCGAGCGTGCGGCGGCCGCCGCGACGATGCCTGCTGGCCCCTCGGCGGAAACCCTGTCGGGAAGCACCGGTCTGCAGCCCCTCCAGGCGGAATCCTGTGGCAGCGTTGGCTTCAATTCAAACAGAACCACTCGTTAGGTGAGTGCACACACAGTTCAATATGCATGACAGTGCAGCAATCAACTAATCAACAGTCAAATGGCTGTGTAGACAATAAAAATTGGCCCATTCACCAACTTCGGCAGCTCCGAACTTAATTAGTGGTACAGTTCCCACCGAGTTTTAACTAGCTGCAAATTTTCTGCAATGGCGAATGATTTCTACAATTCAAATTTAGCAAATAAAACATAGAATGGACATGACTATGATGCCATTATATCAACAGCAGCATGGCAATAATCTGACAAACCATAACTATAATCATAAGTTCTGTTCAGCACTGCAGCACTGCAGTGGCTGCAGGGCAAATATGATGGACGAAGACGCCGCATCTTTTTTTTTCAGCACCTCCATGCCATTGCCCACAGGCACTTGGCGCATGAAGACAAGCTAATGGGAACACCAAAAAAAAAACACGACGCAAAGGCACCCCCAGAAGTGGGGGCCTTCTGCCTCGAAGTCAGCAAGTAGTCATCATCTACTGTATGGCTGGCCTGCAATCGCTCTCCATTTTTTAGGGGCGAAGTTCCTTAAAGCGTGGGTCTGTACATCCTCCGATGTATGAATAGTAGTAGTAGTAGGTAGCCACCGGTGGCACATACCCACTCTAGAGCGGGCATGTGCCACAGGGGATGTGAGATGGAAGATGGTGGTTTGGTTTGGTTTGGGAAAACTTTACTGTAAATGTCCGAAGTCGCCCGTCCTAGCACACGGCGGGTCGCTCCCACGATGGGACAGTAAGGCCGAGACCTAGCGCTGCATCGTGGGCCCTCTGGACAGCCCAAAGTTGTGATCCCACTTTCCGGAATCCCACTTTCTGGACGATGCTCTATCGGTGCCACGTATCGAAGGGCACTCTCAGAGCATGTGATGTAGGGTAGCTAAACTGTCACATTTTGTACATAAGTTGGTTAAATAAGCCTCAGGGCAAAGCTTGTGGAGAAAGGGGGTTAGGGTACGTTTTTGTTTAAAGTAATCGCAATGTAAGTGCCTGCGCTCTATTTTGCTTCCTATGTGGAGGTGGAAAGATTCTCCTATCCATAGTGAAATGTTGGGCAATTTCATTGTATGTAGTTGATGGATCCCTGTCAACGAAATCTCCAGTTCGACCCAAAAGTCCTCCATGGCCGCTGACAGCGAACCCTCGTGCCCTAGAGTGGGCCAACTCATTGAGATTGATAATTCCTCCGTCCATGCTTCCCATTTGAGCTGGGAAACATGTAAGGGTATGGGTTGCAAGTGACTTCTCACCGAGTATGTTTTTAGCCTCTTTGCACACAGCTCCAACACTCACGGCACGAATGGCAGCTCTAGAATCGCTGAATATATGTTCATGACGCTGATCTAAAAGAGCCAAGGCAATGGAAACCTGCTTGGCTGCATTGGCAGTTTTGGCGCATAACGACGCCGCATTATTTGTTACACCTTTGTGGTTGATTGCCACTACCGCGAATCGGTCTCTCTGGTCATCATATTGCGCCATGAGGAGATGGCGGTACTAGGAGTGTTAACTAGATGGACGCACGGACAGACGTACAGACAGACGTACGGATGGTCGCGCGGACGTACGGAAGCAAGAACAAATGTACGGGCTGACGGACGCTTCGCCCCACTCATCATCATTCACTTCGTGGATATGCTGCAATTTTTTGTCCTCTTGCTTCTACAGCGATGTGTCCGCGATCATTACGCAGTTGTTAAGAATGATTTTCAAATACTCAGTGCTTTAGGCTTAGTAGATTTGGCTTAGAGTAGCATCGAAACATAAAGCTTGCACCTGTTTTTTTTGCAATAGATGGCTTATGAGTCATGACTCACTTATCATGGCTGGGAAGTGCACAATGGTTATCTATTTAGAGACGTTTTTAAGAGTGCCTAGACGCAGTTTTGGTTTCATGAGCACCGAGCTAGGCAGGAGCAGTTCTGGTGGCTAGGTAAACACAGCTGGCCTAGTGACCCAAAAAAAGCTGCGATGTGGGTGCCGCACTGACCAGCCAACACAAACACATGATGTAGATTTGTTTATGCTGACACCATGTTGATGTCGGCGTTGCCAGGTGCTCCGCAGTTCGCTCAGTCACGTGGCATGCACTTTAAAAGTTTTTTTAAATATGCTCAAGGCTACCGCATTTACTCGCATAATAGACACACATTGTTTTCCCAGAAAATCGGACGCCAAGTTCGGGGTGCACCTATCATTGCAGTGAAATTTCCAAAATTTCATATCCAACTACAACATAGACCGTTCATAACATAAGTCGCCGAAGTCGCAATATCCGCACTACAGCCGAAACAACCCTCTTCATACGCTACACTAGCGCAAAACTTGTCGAACATGCAGTCTGGCGTGTTTCTGAGAATTGACCATTTGCAGAAATCTACAAGGCGGCTTTCCTGCAAAGTTGTTTTACAACAACAACAACAAAAAACATGTGCAGGCTGCTTTGCTCTTACTATACTTTTACCACTCAAATAGACATTTTGCAATAAAGCTACTGCGCATGCTCAAGCACGCCTCTTGCAAGCGCCCCCTAAGTGGTTGGAAAGATATCAGGCTACTCCCCTTCTGCTTTGGCCTTTCGGCACCCTGAGGGGTCGCATGAAGCCGTAGCTCTTGCCGTTTTGCAAGCACTATGCCAGCAGACTTCGTCGCGTACAGGTGCACAAACTATCACTCCAAGGGCAACATCAGACTATTTTGTTTTTCGTCCAAAAGCGGTACCCACTACGAAGAGAAAACAGCGCTTAAAGACAAGATGAATAAAGGAAGTGCCGTGGTTTGTGTCGTTTCTTCGTCTTGCCATTTAGCACTGTCTTCTACCGGGTACCTGACTAGCGCAGCTCAATCAAGCTCCAAACCATTTCTACAATGTACAGTCGAGCCCACTTATAACGAACCTGAGCCTGACGCGACATCCATTCGCTGTATCTCGATGTTCGTAGTAAATGAAACACGGCTTTTAAAAAATTTGCAAGTAAAAACACAAGATTTTTTGACCAAAAAAGTCTGTGATTCACGTGTTTCGAAAAGCAGAAGCCACAAGGGCAGTCTCGAGTTTATTTCAAACGGCGGCGTGCTCTTCGCCGAGGCCCATGGCATAAGCTGCATGAGGCAATGGCTCCCAAGTTTCATTGTTCTCGCAATCCGATTCCTCCAAATCGCTGTTGACGCGTAATTAATTCACAATGCCCTAATCCATGCACAGTTCTACGATGTCGCCATCGTCATCGGCCGTAATTAAACAATCGCAACTGATGTCCCACCCGCTCTGCCAGGTCAGAGTCGATGATGCGCTGCCACAAATTGCCGCTGGTGCGGTCCTGTTCGGAATCTTCAGGCTCGGCATCAGGCCCGACGTCGACGAAGTAGGCCTCGCGAAAACAGTTTCATGCGCACGTAGCCGTCACCGCCGCCCTCGAAATATTCACCATCTCCACAGCTGAATACCGGGATGCCCGAAGTGGCAAGTTGGCTGCCAGGTGGTCACCAGCTATGAGCAAGCACTCCGCAACGCGGCACCTAACGTGCGGATTACGCCCAAGCCAAGCGGTCACACTTTCGACATTTTGTTCAGTGGCAGGAGGAAGCGTACAAGGCCTCCCGTCCGCCATCGTGACCACACACGCACACCGACAGCGAGCAAGACACGCACACGCAACATACATGCCAGAATGTGTGGTACAGCTCTGAGCCCGTTTCTAGTCAGGAAACAAAACTTCTGAATTCGAGTCAGCGTGGTTGGTGTCGCGGAGCTGTGGAGACAAGAGAAAGAGTTGTGTCAAGAGAGGAGAGCCGAATTGGGAGAGAAGGGCAAGGAGTTGTGATAGAGTGAAGAGAAAGGTGGATACGGCGGGAAGGCAACCTTGAAAACCAAAACACGTGCGAGGAAGGCAGGTCGGGCAGCTCATCGCATAACCGATAAGCAAGAGCGACACAATTTTGTTTTAAAGTAGACACCTAACGACAATGCAAAACTTTCGTTTATACCTGAGTCGCTAAAACGCCGTATGCACACAATATTTATTGTTCCTCATGTTTGGGACAACGCCAAGTGCACTTTACGACGAGCTTCAGCTAAAGAGCGGCACCTACACCGACATGATCCTGGCGAAGAGAGGCTAGCACGATGATACACATCATTCTCGCCAAGTGCTCGACCTCATCTTATTGCGGTACATATACAGGCGAGTAAGGCCAAATGCTTCTGTAGACAGTGCTAGACATATGTACAAGCAATTACTCTTGCGCTAACAGAGTGGGACAAACCACCCTTTGAGCACAAGCATGACGTACGCGCACATGCTAGCCTATGTGGATAGCAGACGACGCAGGGTGCAATCCACACTAGGTGTGCTTCAGCCAGTGGGCACCAGGCAGCGACTCCACCCAATCTCAGGGCGAATAGCACTTGAAGCACAAGAAGGTTTATTGCGCAGACAGTCTAGACGTTCCAACAGACCCCTTTCAACAAAAGTAACGGTGGTGGTCCATACTAATCCCCGCGATCAGTTTGAGAGAGGAAATGGAAATTAACCTGTTGTTGGAGGCTGGATGGCAGCGGCGGGACGCTTGGGTGGCCTTCCACGGCGGCCTTTCACACGGGCCGCAGGAGCGGTTACTGCAGAGGTAGAGCATAGCCGGTAAAGCACTCCACAAATGTCGCACTTAGAGGTGACAAGCGCACTTGGCATATTTCGGAAATCCAACTTGCCACCCTTTGTGATTTGCATGCACATGCTTTCTGCAGCATTGAGAACGCCTGTAGTTCTCTTTAGACATGCTCTTGTGTCCATATAACTTTTTAAGCGCGCACAAAAAATAGAACAAGAAAGAGACAGACGAGTGCTGTCCTGTTTTTTCTGCGCGATAAAAAAAGTTATAATATGGATACATACCAACTTGCCCAGCTATCTGCTTTACTGCAAGCTCTTGTTTCATCCAACGTAACCTTGCATTACATGCCAGTAGTGCTGCCTATTTTACCAGTATTTTCATCCAGTGCCCAAAGTGAACATTAATGATGGCAATACCAAGACATGATGCTTACAGAGAAAGCACAGACTCAATAATTTCAACACTGATATGGTGAATTCCCCGCAAAGATGGCAGCAACAAGCAGATAAAATTGCACTCGATATACACACGTTCAAGAAGTCACAATTTGAGCAAAAATATAGCAAGGCGTACACATGCCAGTAATAAGGCAACCTATGAATCGGCACAGCACTTCAGAAACACAAGAGACAGTGTTCATAGCTACAGCCGTGAACACGCAAAAGCATTCCACTTTTCACTCCAACAGCGAAGGTGTGTGAGGAATACAAGGTGAAGCCTCATGTGTGTAGTATATCGATGGCACAGTGCGTAGAACAGCCGGCATCTAGCGCCACTAACCAAGGGGTCATGGGTTCAACAGCTAGGTAACCCGCATCAACAAAACTTTTTCGTCTAGTGTCATCAGCTTTTATGCATTTTTTCCCACATTATTTAGGCAACAGAAGTGATGTCAGTGAAGTCTTCATAGACCCAGACACAAAATACTTTCGTGTTAATAAAAAGGTGTTAAGAGTGTGGACCCCCCTTAAGATATTTGCTTTCCTTTTTACAATTAAACCTGTTCATAACGAACCTTCATATAATTTTTTTTCCGATATAACGAAGTTTTTCTATTTCCCACCGTAGCTCTGTAAAAGCACATGTATTTGCGACCTCTATGTAACAAAGTAACTGCGGGAGACATCCTCGATATAATGCTTTTTCGACATAGACAATCTAGGAATTTTGCCTTGGAATTTGTCATTTTGGCACAAGCAAACCGACGACGAAGCGAGACGCAGAAGCAGCACGCACAGCATGCTCGTGGCCCCAGCGACACCCAGCCGATAGTGGGCAGCTGGGCCTGCGCCCCACGAGCCAGCATCCCAGCCTTTCTTGCCGCCACGGGCGCAAGCACGTATGGACCCTACACCTCTCTCCAAACCAAAAACAAAAAAAGAAAACCACTTTTTGCGTTGGCAACGCCACGCTTTTGTTGATTTCACATATGTGGGGCCGTGCTGCATATAGAGGGCACTTTACAGAATAGTTTTCCACGGTATCCGTGTCGTTTACTCTTCATTTTCAATGCCATGCGCGCTTGTATGATTTCCTTGCGCGACCATGGTGTGGCCCCCGACGACATTCCGCTTTGCCTACCCCCCCCCCCCCCCCCCCCCCCCCCCCCCCCCCCCCGTTTTTATGCGGATGACCGTGTCGTCACCACCGAGAGGATGTCAGATAAGGTGCTTAAAGAAACTCTCCGAAATTACGGTGACGACGGATCTTCACATGTCGACTCGTGACGCCCTTCCGTCTTGCGCCGCAGTTCGCAGGCTCATAGCTTTCGCGATTTCATTTCATTTTATATACCCTCAAGGCCATGTGGAATTATAGAGGGGAGTGGTCACAAGTTTACAAGGAACAAAATACAGCATGAAAATAAGTTATTCAACAAACAAAAACTCCTCATTATACAATATTAGCTGCGTAAGGACGACTTCAATACAATATGAACATAATATATAAAAATACATAACGTAATGATTTGTGCACTTTTTATTAAACAAAATTAAGTAATTTTTTATGAAAAAGATGGTTATTAGCAGTAGTTACTATGTCTTTGGGTATATGGTTCTAATCTGCTGATGTACGAGGATTGAATGATAAAAACACTGCGAGTTGCATAATGCAATGCCAACCTTATAACGGTGGTCTATACGATGAGATATGTACTGGAATTGAGGATTAGTTGGTCATGAAGGGCGGGATAATGGAGTATTTTGTGAAAAGTGGCCAGGTGGGATATTTTACGACGGGATGCAAGTGAAGGGAGGCCTAGGTTGGATGCTGGCTATGCGATTATAGTTGGACAGTACGAAACGGACGGAGTTATTCTGTACAAGTTCTAGTGAAGCGATAAAATTATCCTAGTTGTCCGCCACCGCCGCCACTGGTGCCCGTAACCAGAATCGATAGAAAAAAAAAAAAACTCAGTAAAAGAAGAACACCAATGACACAATGAGATTCGAACCGGGTCTGTTGCATGCCAGCTCAGTATTCTACAACTGAGCCACGCCAGTGCTTGGAACTCATTTTGAAACTGGTTTTAGGCAGGCTTGATGTTAGGAAAGGAATAGTGTTAGTATGAGTAATAAAGCGTTTTAAAACATCAAAGGAACAGCCAGGCATGAAACAATGCAAATCGCGTAACGAGTGGGTCGTCCAATGCTGTAACCCATTAGAAAAAGAATCATATCTTATCGGTGCCCTCGAGTGCGTACAAAACCGTGCACCGCGTTTCATCACTGGTGACTATAAGCGAAACTCTAGCGTCATGAACATTAAGCTCTCCCTCTCTCTACCTACACTGCAGACACGTAGGAAGATAGCCCTTCTCGCCCTTCTACATAAGATACACTACAGTCAACGCCCTTTCAACCTACCCTTAACGAAGCCATCCCGTACATCACGTCGTCTTCATAATACCCTCAGCTACCAACGCCTTCCTAGCCGCACTAACACCTTCAATTCATCAGCCTTGCCTAGCGCGATAATACTCTGGAACGAACTTCCAGATTCTATTGTTAACATCCGTAATCCGGTAGTATTCAGAAGCGAACTGAGCAACTTTGTGTTCTAGGTGCATTTTATTGCCAAGTTTCTGTGTCCTTTTATTTGATACCTATGTGCATTTGTCATAATATTGTTCTACATTAGTGTAAACATAGACTGCCTTACCTGCAATATCTCCGGCCTCAAGTGTTCATGCCATTAACTACTGTTTAAGGATGTACCTTTTTTGCGAGATCCCTACCTCTGTTGATGAATATTCTAGCCCTCCCTCACAGAATACTCCTACTCGGGAGCGTGTGAGGTCTCTGTAAATAAATAAATAAATAAAAACTTGTTCTTGATCACCTATAAACTGTGGCACATACCCACTTCAGGCATAATTCTTCATCGTCGTCAGCCACTGCATAAAAAATTTCACAAATTTCCTAAAAATTATGCAGCGGATACCTCGCTTCTCGAAACAGTGGTGAAGGATTGTAGAGTGAATGCTGGCCTACTACACAAAAATTATGATTATTTATGGCGTAGTGGGTACCCAACAGTGTGTTTGTAGCAGTTACCCAGAGTGTTTAGAAAAGGTTTTGAAAGGCCGCTTTTATAGTTTTCGCTGCGACTGTGCTGCACGTTTCAAGCAGAATGGCGTTTTTTTTTTGTTTAACTTGCACATTTATTTTTGAATGTGCGTACCTGCATATAACGAAATCTTTAAAACGAATTTTTTGGGAAATTGTCAATTTTGTTACATCTAGGTTTAACTTAACAGCTTTTGATGCCTTAGGACAAAACAAGTAGTTCAAATGGCTGAAAGTTTATCCCTTCATATCCCGCAGCACTCTTGGAAAGCTTGCTACCTAAGCAGTAATGAGATAAATCACTTACGTGCGTTTTCTGGAAGGTGCATGCCACTGACAGGGTCATAGCCACACCGATTTGCTGCAGCTCGGGCCTGACTAATCACTGAATTTCCCTGCGGGCACAACGAAAAACATGGCAGCACAGGTTACCATGAGAGCAGTGAGCACCTGTTATGTCGGCCACAGTACGCTTCAATGTTCACTCAGGCAAATGCAATGTCTATGCGAGAACAGGAGTAAAATAAAATGCTTTGTCAGTATTCTGCATTCCATTTCATGCTTATATCCTTTTCAGGCACCGTTCCTACAGCATGACACATTAGCTTCAGAGTTGCGTCACATTCATCATGTTCCTTCAAATAACTTGAAACTTGGAAAGCACATTTGTACAGGCTTCTTGAGTAGACAAATAACAGTAATTTAACTTCATTGTGCAGCATATTGCTGAAGAGGATCACTTTGCTGGAGACACTTCAATGTTGGACGATTGTTTGATGTGCCGCATTCCATAACCATTGTCAAGTATCTTTTTTTTTCTTTGATCGAAAAGAGTAAAAAGAATTGCATGCATTTTGGACCTAATATTTGGTATTTTAAATGCAAGGATTCAAGCTGCCTGATTGCAGGATAATCATGTATTTAACTACATGCTAATTAACATAAATTAATGAAAATCACACAAAACAACCCATTCATTTATCTTATTTATTGGAATGTAATACTGAGTGACTTAGAATTATGCCATATGAATTTAATGCATCATAATTCGTGCCTGACGGAGATATGTGTTGAACCTGCAGATGAATAAAGGTTAAAAAGAAAAGGGAATCAATGAATACATATGTGATAATATTAAAAAAAGAAAGCAGCAGAAATCATGACTGGGGTGGTTTGAAAGGGTCCTCCGAAGTAAATTAACTTTGGTGCGTGTGTGCACAGAAGACTGCATTTTCACTGGAAATCGCTTTGCTTGCTAATGCAAATGCTCCTTGCCACTAAAGCGTTTGACACACTGTGCAGGGTATTTTCAAACAATGCTTGAAAAGAACTGAAAGGCTGTACGTGGTGAGGAACGAAGGATGTACGATTGCCACTACCATTATTGTTAGCCGAATGCCTTTCATGAAGACCTCCAAGACACATTCTGCAGCCAGAATGAGCGCAGCACTCACTTGCTCACGCATCTTGACTGCGGCTTTGTAGTAGAGCGTGTCACGTGAATTGTACGTCATACAGTTATCAATGATTAGATGGAAGTCAGCTTCGAAGTCTTTTAAGCTGGAATACTCGTGCCGCTTCAGCTTTTGCTCCATTGTCCAGAAGTCCATTGGTTTCTGAATGTAGTTCAGGTAGTCGGGGACCTGTAAAAAACCAATTCAGAATGTGGGCTCAACTTGCCACTTGCTTGGAAGGCATTGTACACGTTGCTTAGGTTCAGGCTTGGGCTAATTGATTCATGCCTATAACAAGGAAAAAAAAACATCGCAAAATTCTGACGGTACATGCGCAAGATGAAAGTATGACAACAGCCCTGTGCGAAATTCTGATGGGACACACACAAGATGAAGAAGGCTGTGTGTGTCCCACCAGAATTTCGCACAGTTTTTTCTCCCTTGTTATATCATTGTACATTGGAGTGGCTCTTACTAGACTACATCCTACAACAATACAGACCTTGTTTCTGCCTGCTAAAACTGAATGTCAAACTGCTCCCAGAGTAACACTTGTGCCACTTGTGCGCAAGAAATAACGGTGCTCTGCTTTGAGCGAATATTTTCTGTGTGTCCCAGCAAGTTTTGCTATCAAACTACAGTTATTGTATATTAAATGCAAAGCCCAGAAGCAACATGGTGCTTCCCATGTCAAATTGAATTTTGCTGTAGTGCAAGTAAGGAACAACATAAGATTTGTTAAGGGGGGGCGCGGCAAGTAAAGTGCCGATTTTGGTCAAAATATGCGATTTTCTGATTTATTTTTTTTCGTAATCTTCAGACCTTCAACTTCCTTGTTCTAAAATATTACAGCGAAACGTGCGCCACAAATCCCGCAAATAGTGTTTTTGCCGAGGCTAGTCGCCGAAAAGTGCGAAAAAAAAGCCCCTGAAACGGTGTTGTTCACGCCGCACAAACGCGCCAAGTTGTTGACCGTGGGCCGCCATTTTGGTAGCTTTGGAAAGAGGAGAAAGCCGGCTTCCCGATGGTCGCGGTCTCGTATTTCGCCGAGTGAAAATAAAAGCGCGAGGAGCAAGTAAAAAAAACGAAAACGAAGAACGGCAATTGGCTGCGCGGGTCACGTGGTAGCAGGCGCGACCTCTTACTGGTCAAAGCTGCGCCGCGCACCTTGGCAACCTTGGAAGCGCGAGCGCATCTGCGGCCGCCGTGTCGAGAATCATCCGGCGTGCGCTTCGTTTTTTGCCAGTTTGCTGCTTTTGTGATAGTTCGCGTGCTTTTTTTACCAAGCTTTGTTTACATCGGTGGTCTCTTCTGAGTGCTTGCTCATACTGCGGTGCTATGTTGCCGCAAAAAAAGTTCCGGAGCGTCCACAAGTACGGCAAGCGTCGGAAAGCTTGGAACAAAGGGCAGACGACTGCGGCTGCCGTCCCAGTCGCAGTTCCGGACGGAGCATGCTCTTCAAGCGTCACGGAGCCTCTACTCAGACCCCCCGCTGATTGTTGTGAGGCCGAGAGTGTGGAAGGTGCCACATCGTCGTATGTCAGACCGCCGGATGCCGTCGACCGTGATGGACGCTCTCGCGAACCCGATTGCGGTGGCACCGCGTCGGCAGCCGTTGCAACTCCGGGCGTGCGCGCGTCGAACATTCTATCGCGAGTTTCGGCCCAGATTCCGAGCAGTGAAGAAATCGCGCAGCGGGCGCAGACAAGGCGGGATGTTCTGGATGCCGTAGCATCGAAGTCCGCTTCAAAGCGGAAGCTCGAGCTTCTGAACGAAGGCTGCGACGAAAATGACGGCGGTAAGGACTCCACATTCTTCATTGTAAATAAGAAGATGCTGAACGGTCTGCTTTCGTCAGTAAAGTGCAACAAGTGCGACGAAGGGTCGATACGCCTCGAGACTACGCACTGCCTTGGACTCGCGGCGAGGATGGAACTTTTTTGTGACAATTGTGGCAGAGTGAACAGTGCGTGGTCGTCCCCGAGGTGCTCCGGGCAACAAAAAAACGAACCCCTTTGAGGTAAACGTGCGTGCTTTGAGGGCTGTGCAGTCAGTTGGCAGAAAACAATCTGCCATAAATGACACTTTTCTGCGATGGACATTTCGCATCGAGCACTGCACCACAAGTCCTACCAGAGGCTGCAAAGGAAGTACAGCCACCCTGCCACCACATCAGCTGCCACCCGCATTGAAGCAGAAAGTGCACAGAAGGTGCATGACATTTACAAGGACCTAGGAGGAGTGCCAGCCAACATTGACGTCATTTACGACGGCACGTGGATGACGAGGGGGCACAGAAGTCATATTGGCGTGGGCTGTGTAATCGAGCTGTACACAGGCTTGGTCTTGGACCACTGTGTCCTGTCCAACTACTGCCAAGGCTGTGCTGTTGGCCCCAAGCCTGGTGACGACAACTATGAGGAGTGGCTTGAGAAACACAAGCCACAGTGCCAAAAGAACACCGATGCTAATGCAGGCCAAATGGAAGTAGAAGCAGCTAGGATCATGTTTGAAAGATCGTTTACCAAGTACAAGCTTCGATACATCAATGTGCTCTGCGACGGTGACAGCCGTACGTACCTTGCCCTCACGCAAGACAAGGTGTATGGCTACATGGTGATTAAGAAACAGGAGTGTGTGAACCATGTGAAAAAAAGAATGGGCACTTCCTTGCGCAACCTTCTTGATGAGCACAAATCCAAAGGCCGAGGACTGAGCATGGGTGGCAAAGGCCGGCTGACGCAGGGCCTGATAAAGAAGTTGACGAATTATTATGGCTGGGCCATTAAGAGCCACCCCAATGATGTTCCTGGCATGGAGAGGGCCATCATGGCCACTTATTACCATGTAACATCCACAGACCAGGATCCACACCACAACCTGTGCCCAAGTGGGACTGACTCCTGGTGCCCGCACAATCAGGCATTGGCCAAGGGAGAGCCGCTGCCGCCTCACAAACATAAACTGCCCCCTCACGTGCGAGTGGCACTGATGCCAATCTACAAGCGCCTCTCGAACAAAGAGCTCCTTGAAAGGTGTGCGCAGGGAAAAACCCAGAACGCTGTGGAGAGTATGAACAGCCTCATTTGGTCACTCCAGTCCAAGAGCCAGTTCGCCTCCCTTCGAAGTGTGGAAAGTGCAGTTGCAGATGCAGTCTGCCGTTTCAATGGTGGCTGCAAGAGTGCGCTGCAAGAGATCACTGCTCAACTGGGCTTCAATCCAGGAGACTGCTCTTTGCGGCGAGCAGCCGAAAAGGATGCCAAAAGGGTAAAGAGGGCTCAAAAGGCGCATTGTTCCACGACAAAGAAGCGCAAAACTGGGTTGCGCTCTACAGAGGCCAAGGCCACAGCATCTCAGGATTACTGCCCAGGAGGATTCTGAGTGTTTTAGGCATGTTGTGAACTTCCAAACAAGAGTGAACTTTCAAAGTCAGTTTTCTCAACTCTTGATTTTCGCCTATGTGCCTTCGCTAGAACATCTGTCATTTTCTAACAAAGACTGATAGAGTCGTTCCGTTTTTTGCACTAGGCTCAGGAGGCCTTTAGCAGTGCAATAAAGCTTTATCTCTCTTCTTACTCATCATTTAAAATTTTTAGAACACATTTTATAATTACTGCAATGTGTGCGCAAAACAACATCCATGTTTTGGAAATTTTATTTATGGTTACAAGAACTAGAAAAATCAACTAATAGCTTCTTTGCACAAGTTGATGCTTTGGGAACATAATAATATGAAAAAATAATTTCATTTAGCAATAATTATCTCTTTAAGTGTGAAGAGCATTAATTAGTATAATTATGCTTGTAACTCAAAAAGTACAAGAGGTATTTGAAAACGGTTTTCATATTTGGAATCCTCACAATCATCCACATACACACACCAAATTTCATCACAAACAGTACATTAATAAAAAAATTAGTTTTACTTGCCACGTCCCCCCTTAAGAGACGTGAAAAATATTTCTACAAGATAGACCCAACTGTACTGCGCAAGCTTTGCAATAGACAGTACGCATTGCTCAGTTGAATCGACTCTATCAAATGCATTAATGAACGGAATTAAGGTGAATGCCGCTTTATATGCTCAGGCACAGCACCACACAAATGGCATTAAATCTTAAGACGTTGATGCTATTTTTGGTGCCCATGTGACACACGCAGAGGTCAGCAAACACGAAGCTTGTGCCATGCGCAATTATGGCATACATCTGGCGTGCCTGTGCAAAGCCTCCACCAAAAAAGCAGGAGAAATATGCGGGGTTCCCTTTCACATTCCGAACACAAAAGGTGGAAGCCAAATATTCTGAGCACTATGTTTCAACAAGCACTGAAAAACAACCACACAGCAAATGCTTCTTTCTTTATCAGAGGGTCTGACTTCTGTTGCTGCTAAAGAGTCTGCCGTAGGCATTTGAAAGGGCACAGTCTCGATTGCATGAACACTGTCACTTCGGTATTGAAGTCACTGTGCTCTAAGGCTGTTTGCACACTCTGCTGAATCAGGTAAATATTTCTTCATTCTGGCAGATGTGCTTCCTAATTAAAAAAAAGAGGGAGTGGTGGCAGGAGGGTGGTGGTACTGCTGCACTTTCCCACAGGAAGTGCGGCACCCCACCCCCCCTTGCGCAGCTTTGAGCGACTCTGTTGCATGTGTTCTCCCTACGTGAAGATAGCTTGATGCTGTCGGCCAATCTGCCTAGATTAAGTGCCGCATACGGCCTTCTGTTCTCATGCCTGCAGGAGGTTGGCAAGAATATACTTCAGTTACTCCGTTATATCCGATAATTCACTATATGAACAATGATTGTATCAAGGTAACCAGCAGACGTGAAAAGTAGTCTCGTGTGATCGATACAATGTAAAGAGTGTACGTAGCACATTTATAATAAATTTTTGGATATAAACTCACTTTCATGTGAGATTTGACTTTGTAGTAATGCAGAAAAGAAGTGGCAATTTAAGGGTTAGTTTTTTTTGTTAGACACAATATTAATGAGAACTAACAGACAATGATCCCAAGGAATGTAGAGCGGATCCTGTTACCAGTAATGGAAATGTAAATATGCAGAAATAAAATGAGACGAAAAGATAGCTTGCCGCTGGTAGGGACTAAATCTGTGAGCTTCGAATACCGCATCTGAAGCTCTACCAACTGAGCTGCAGTGGCGGTCATTCCCCCGTCCACTTTATATACAGGGTGTCCAACGTAACTTTAGCCAGAGTTTAAAAATATGCCGGAACAAGTAATTACGACACGACCAAATGCATGTTGCTCACCGTTGCCTGGAGTTAGTCAAACAATTTTTTGTGTTTTTAAATGTTGTTTAATTAGACCTGATTAATTAACTAATCTTTGAAGGAACGAAGATGGATCAAAAAATTTCCATGAGAAAGTTGTAGATGGGTTTGGAAAATGTCCAAATATATAGTTTTTAACTTTATGTCTGTTAAGTATTAGTGTTTTTCTGCTAATAACAAATGCCCACGAAATAAAAAAAAAAAAAAACACGTGACAAGTCCGCTCGCGCGTCAGTTCGCACGATGATTCTAGTGCTCCCTAATGTTCCGCTTACGAACTACACGCTTTGCTCGCACCGGTTCATGACAGCGATAAGCAGTCACAACGGTTATCGTTTTTGTGGTCGATAGCAAAACGTGTTCATCGTAAAGCCACCACCATCGTTGTGGCCCTGCCGAGACAGCACAATAGGGCAAATGCTATGATCGTTCGTATGCGGAATATTAGGGAGCACTAGAATCTTTGTGCACACTGGCGTTCAAGCGGATTTGTTGTGGGGTATATTTTGTATTTTGCGGGCATTTGTAATTAGAAGGAAAACACTATAGATATGAAGTTCAAAACTGTCTAATCAGATGTTTTGCAAATCGATCTACAACTTTCTCACTGAAATTTTTCATCTACATTCGTTCCTTCAAAAGTTAGTTATTAAACAATCAAATTAAAGAATATTTGAGAACACAAAAAATAGTCTGGCTAACTCCAGGCACCGCCTTCTCTACTTTTATCAGTGCCCAGGTGAACGCTCTCTTTGCCTTCGCCAGCCGCTGCCGCATGGTGGCACTGTGCAAGTAGACTACGGGATGCTGGCGCTGAACGGCTGCATGTATTGGGAAGCTCGCAAGTTCGTGTTTTCATGCGAGTTAATTTGCAGTCGTGCTTCTTGACGGCTTTCACGGATGCAGGGAGGATGAAAAGTAACACGAACATAGCGGCGCGCTGTTTTCACCAGGCTCTGTCAGGCCGTGCTACAAGTTCGATATACGCGGTCATGTTTTATAGCATTCGCGTTTTATTTTCTCTTTCAAGCTATTGCAACGTCATCATTTGCATGCGTCAGTATATAGTACTGCTGTGTACCACTCCAAATCTCTGACGGAAAAAAATCAGATTGTCTTCTTTTTTATTTTTCATTAGTTAAAAAAAAAATTCGCCGGTCTTTTTATGGATTCACCTGAGATGACTGAAAGGCAAAAACTATCCTAGTTTTCTTCCGATTCAATGCACTAAATGTTTCCTACTTCCCTCCAGGATATTTCTGCACTCAATATGGTTTTCTTACTGCCACAAGGATTGGAGCCCCTCAGCTGCTTATGCACTACCCTCATGATCGGCAAATTTCAACCAAGCGAAGATGTTATATCACCACATTGAACATGCAGCACCAAGAGAACAACGAAGAACACATGCAGCAAGATAAAAAAGACGAGGTTCTCTTCCGATCAGTTTGCCAGTGTCCTGGTACAATTAAAGTGAGTTACCTGTATTCAACTGCTGCTGTTCCTGCATTGTGACAATATGATGCGGTAAAGTTACGTGACCTTCGGATACGTCACAAACATTTATGATATGTGACTTTACATGATGACGTTTTCACGTAATGATGATTTCTTGCATCACTCGTGTTCACGCCGCCGACGCGAAAAGACGCCGGATGCCTCCGACAATCAATTTTCGCTTTTGATGAGGAATTTAAAGCTATCGCCTTAATGCACAATACAGATGTAGTTCCAGAAATTGCAGCTTCCACTGGTGTTTGGGGAAGTGTGCTTCCAGTAATAACGCTGAACAATTGGTCTCCTAATAAATTTTCGTACTACACACTAATATGTAGCCGTCATTTACAACCCAAGTATTTTATAGATTATAAATAGTGGCAGCTGAAGACTACCCGTCACAATTCGTATCACTAAATGGGAGTGCGCTGCATCACAACAGCCAACAAATAAGTCTATCAGTAACAACGCTGCCTCGCGATCACTGCCGTGTGTGACACTAACATTACGCCCCGAAGCTGAATGGGAGCCCATGGGGAGCACACAGCCATTCGGCCTCTATTCTGCTCGCTACCGAATTAAGAGGCCAGAGGGAGGAAGAAAGAAACAGCTGAGCAACAACAGTCCGTCCATGAATACACAAACAAGCTCAAGCAACTGACCACAGGCCACATTTTTCATGCCTGTCACCTTGGCTCAAGTTGAGAGTCAGCATTCGACTTCAAACTTTTACCGCGCCTGTTCAAAACATAAACAATGATCAGAGGAAGCGCACCGCATATAAAGCTGTTCTTGTTTATCGTACGATGATTTCATTGTTTAAGCTCTCAAATGGTGAAATCACCAGCCATAAGTCCTTATTTACTGACACTTGCTTTTTCTCGGTGGCAACACATGTAATGCTTTGCAAAGGGAACAGATAATGACCTATATCCCTGGAAGCAGTCTAGTAGCACTTTGTGCTATTTAGTGCATGAATCCAGGCTTGCACATAATGTCCTAAGCCACTAGAAAGTAGCAAGCACCGGGGAACATTAGGCACCCAAGCTTCTAATATTAGCTCCTGGCAAAGGCTTCTCTCAAAAAATCGACTTTCAGTTAGTCGAAAAAGCAACTCTCAGTCAAGCGAACGCCACGGTGATAAAACGATCTTCCGCGGATTACTGGCATGAGCTATCTGGTATCGGCCTTGTAGACAACGTGCGAGCGCCTCGATCAAGTAGTCGCAAACGACACATGCCTTTGAAATGAGCTGGGTGTCCAGAACAACAAGTGCTTCACAATTATCGCTTCCGATTTCCATTACACCTTAAACAATGCGAACTCAGCCGAAAACCGAGCAGTATAGCAGTTTCGAATGCAGCCGCAGCATTCGTTTGAGCGAGAGACGACGCAATGGCATCTCTACTCCAGTTGCGGCACCTGTCGACAAAATGCTGCACCAGCACCACCGACGGCCGCTTTCCATTGAAATACACTTCTTCACCCGGACACTGAAAAAATAAAGGAGGCGCTGCTCCAGGCAACGCCTTTTTTACATGTCATTACGACGCAACCAAACATGCGTTTGGTTGCGTCGTAATTACGTGCTCCCGCATAATTTTAAACTCTGGCTAAAGTTACGTGGGACACCCTGTATGTGCACTTGCAGTGTGTTAGGCAGCGCTAGGCGCGATGGCGGCTGTACCTCACTGAGGTTGACTGGCTGTGCAAAGATGTCCGTCGGATCGAGCTCGCGCAGCTGGGTAAGCAGGCGGCTCAGAAGCACGTCACGCGGGCACAGCAGCAGCTCGGTGGCCAGCTGATGGAGGCGCAGCTGCTCGCGCTTGAGCTTCTCGCGCTTGCGCATCAGCTCGACGAGCAGGCGTGCACGCTCCAGATCCTGTCGCAGTCGTTGCCAGAACTTTAGCTGCTCGCGCAGCCCTCCACCGGCCTCGTCGGCATCACGAAGCTCTCCACCTCGTCGGCCACCACCACCAGGGTGCGCCATCTGCAACCGCCGCAGCAAGGGCACGCCGTTGCGAGACTGCCGCTTGAGGGTCCAGTAGCCCAGCAGGCGTTCGAGGAATGCCTGCTTGCGAGCTAGCGTCGTCAGTGTGGCTATCTTGGCCAGCCGGTCACTGGGCAGCATGGGAATCGACACGACCGGTACGGCCGATCGCTTCTCAGCCAGGATCTTGCGTGCCTTGCGCATTTTCTCCCGCGACTGCGCCTTGGCCTGAGCCTTGCGCACCACGTCCGCCTTGTCCCCACTCTCGGAACCCTGCAATGCATTTGTGAATGTGGAAAATAGTCGGGCAATTCTTTGAAAAGATCCCAACTTATAACAAAACAGTGATGTAAACATTTACAGAGGTACTATCAACAGCAAAAGTTTGGGGCTTGCGAAATCCTCGATAAAGCTAAGTTCCTGCTTTGTCTGGGAATGCAATTTCAAAATAAATGTTTCATACTGCACTTGGCATTCCGACCTATACAGTCACCAGCTTGATTACAAGCATTAAGCACTGATATTGCAAAAATTCACATTTGTTGGGGATTCAATGTGCAGCAAACTTTTGCTCTTTAGAGTACATCGAGGAGTACAGAAATGATCTCTCCTAATGTAAAGTCATACAAAAGCTCTGCTCCCAAATAACACCCCTTTGCAGCTGAATGAAAGAATTATTGCACAGTCTGATGTTTTTGAGTGAGATGGTGATATAGCTATTTCACTAAAGCATCCTTACAGTTTGAATTATGTGCTCCAAGATATTCTCTATTTCTGGTCTAGATTTCCATGAAGGCTTTGTTACAAAACAAATCACAAGGTTCTCTTCATTCAAGAGCCCTGAAGCACTTTTTCTAGCAATTATATGGTCACCACCCTCAACTGGTTTTTGCAATCAGCGTCACAGTCATTGTCATGTAAAACTATATCCTAACAGTTTCGGCTGGTGGACCAGCCTTCTTCGGAGGATATAAGCTTAGATCCTCCAAAGAAGGCTGCTCTACCAGCCGAAACTGTTAGGAATAAATAATTATTTTATCGTTTTGTTTCCTACACTGCACTATTCTCTAAGATTATAGTAGTATATATATATATATATATATATATATATTGTCATGTGCTTGCTCAAGAAAGACGATGGCAGTTGTACGTGTGCCACGAAGGACTACGAAATGGACGAAAAAGAACTCGCGCGTTCTAATTAAAAAGATCACCTGCTTCTGGTGTCTCAATCTCTGCAACAAGACCTCTGTTTTCATGCCGCGACAATATATATATATATATAAAGAGACAAAGAAAAATACTTTAGAAAAAATATTTTCTAACACAAAATCGAACGGGTGACCTTGGCAGCGCACGGCGTAAGATAGCGCATGTGCTTCAGCATACTAATGACAAGTTATTTAAGTATAACATTTATCGCTAGCGGAATGCTGAACTGGGTGGCATTTCAGAGTGTTCTCTACATTACCAACAAGATGTCATGAATGTCGTGCATGATAGGACGCTGCCCTGCTTGTTGCTATGCGTGCGATCGTCTACGATGTATACTTTGCCCTAGTAGGCGTGATTGCCCTTGTGCAGGTTTGCTTATCTTGTGATGGGGGCGGTTTGCACTATTCGGCTTTCATTGAAGAAGATTACGTTGAAGTTGCAGAGCGCACAGAGGTCCCTTCGCGAAAGAAGCGCGCTGTTCAAACTCAGTGATGTAACAACTGTGGCACTTAGTTTGAGCCCGTCCTGTGTACACATGTGCATGCATTTTGTGCATCCTTTGTGTTTGAGTAGTGCGAGCTGTGAACATTGTTAGCTTGTGCTCACCTGCATATGTTCTTTTCGTGCATTCGTTGTGCTTGAGCAGCAAGATGCACCGTTTGATCTGCTTACAATTCTTCGCGCATGATATTTATATTTGTTGCTATCACATTCATTGCTTTGCCCTTTTGCCAAAACTGACATTTTTTTCTTTGGTAAATGATGAATAAGCCCCCCTGATCCTTTGACTACTGTGCCTTGAACAGATCAGCTAAATGTTATGTATTTAGGATTGAAAAGGGCCTATAATTTCACCTAGTACTTCTGTTTGGGAACATTGGGCAATGGCAAGATATGGAAAGACAACACAAACACAAGTGTTATTTATCAGTTCTGATCTTCTGTGTATGTCTAGTCTATGCAATTAGTTCAAGCTAGTTGGTGCTGCAAAGCTCTTAAAACTTCTAGCACAGTTTCAGGCCTACAATGATAAGTAACATTACAGACCACATGCACTAGTTTTACTAATTGGCAACTAAACTCTGATGCCAGACACTTTGAGTAAGTACACAGAGCACACAGAAACAAAAAAATTGCTCCAATTAAATAACAGAGCTAGACTGTAGCATCAATACTGAGCTGTCATTAATAAAGATTAACATAATGAAACTGTCCCTCACTTATGCTGGTACAATGATAATTATGCATTAGCAGTGACTTCAGCCTTACAATATAACCCCATGATTTTTAGTATATGGGGAGCTTTAAACCCATTTGAACAAAAATTATTATATGTTCAGCATTTACAAATGAGTCTACATCAAGCTGAGAAGCATACCACAACTTTTGTTCATCTTATTTTGATTCTGTACTCATTCCAGGTTATTCTGATGTGCTTAATTCCATCATAACTCTCTCAGTTTAGACAGACTATAGCTCCTAAAGGCTCCAAAAATGGCACCTAAGATTTAAAATCTACATATCGTACCAGGAAAAAAACATTTGCATGTTTGAAATCAACACACAAATGTAGATGACCCACCAACTTGCTGTTGTTGGTTTTAAAAAGGTGTACAATCATTTAATTTCACAGTATAAATATTTGGGCTAGAAATTTACGGAATAAGAAAGAAACTTCAGAAATAGCTCAGAAATACGTAGCGTGAAATGGGACAAAAATAGGTAAGTGTTAACAAAACAAACCTGACAAAATTTTCAAACCCAAGACATTAGTGTTGTACCTTTTTTTTTTCTTTACTTCCATAGGCACCTCTAACCGAGTATTGGTGGCAAATGCAAGCTTGTCCATATTTTGATAATGATCCTGTTTCACTCTGCATTTTGATGCTACCTTATTACAACTCGTATTGAAGTGATGCCAAAAATGATTATATAATTAATGATGCTTGCATCAAATATACATGTCGTTAGAGCACCTACATTTCAATTTCAATGAATACCATACATAGGTCTATTTAAACAAAGCATAAAAGTAACAAAGATACTTTTCTTTCTAGGTTTCTTAAAAAAGAAAGGTCACAAAGGAAAATTTTTTTTGGGTCCTTTGATAGGCAGGAGGATATGGCAATGTGGTTAATGAGCACAAGCGAGGATAGTTGATATTCGGGTAAAAAATGAAGCGGGTTGGTTCACCTGAGTGAGGCAAGAAGCAGTGGTCTGGGTTGAAGGGTTGGGAATTACGGCCAAGGATGACAAGGTTAAGCAGGGTGATGAACATAAAGAGGTCATGACATGGTCACCCAACAATTTGTGGTTTTCAGCGAAAAGTAGACCCTCCACGATGGTCTAGAGGCTAAGGCACTCGGCTGCTGACGTCTCTCATAGTCAATATTGTGGTTTTGGGATGTTAAGTCCCAACAATTATTAGTATTACCAGCAAAAAGTAGGGGCCTATTTTGCCTATGCAGATAAAATGAAAAGTGGACCATAAAACAGTGCAAAACAAGCTCTAGAAGCCACCGGCTGTCAACCCCCATTTTGCCATGCTTTCAGCCACTTCAAATCGTTAAATTTCGCTGTTAAACAGAAAGAAGCTCGAGTATCTCAATAATCGCAGCTGACCACAGAACAATATAATTCGCTGGCATGCAGATGCTTGCACACCAAGCTGCTCATTACATCATGGTTTGCAAATGTGCCAGTGTTGCAAGACTTTTAGGCTGCTTGCGTATTTATTAGAAAAGTGCTCGACCCAATGTGCTAAAATTTTGCCACCTTATTGCTTAATACACAAGGATCAACCCACATAACCAGGTTATGATTTAAAATTGGGTGCCATGGCCCCTTTAAGAAATTTGCAGGCATAAAATGAATTGCATCAGACGGGACCATTGGGTGAGTTGGTGTGCTTCCATCTTGAACAAATATTAGCGTGCCAAAAACGGGGACGAGAAAAGACAAACTAAAGCTTTGTAGCTTGTCTGGTGGTGAGCATAAAGGTGGCATCATGTTGATAACGATAGTAACGCTGAAAACAACAAACTGGGGCAGAACTTACGGCACCAGCGTTAAACATTTGACAGCTGGTAGTTATGCTCATCGAAAGCACGTCGAAATATTCTTGATAGAAATAGTAGGTCCCGAGGCGAATCCCTTTTTAAGACAAGGCCCATTCCACGTTTGCAAAAGATGTGTTGCAAAGTCCCTTAGATCATTCCCATTAAAGTAGCACAAATAGAAAATGACACAAAAGCTGCGACTGTAGGGTGTACTGCAGTGCAAAAAGAAAGTAGACTCGAAAACTTGTCCCCAGGTATTGCAGCGCCACCTGTTAAACAGAAGGTCCTGCCATGAGCTTTTTTTTTTTTTTTTCAGTCTTTATGGAAGAAATCTTAAAGCTGGCCCATGCATGCACTTTCACTACTATTGATATACCAGGCCATCACCATTAGATGTGTTTTGTCATTATTTTGCTCGCATAAAACTGTGAAATCATGGAATTTTCGCATGTCTTTACACTCTTGACAATGTAAAGAAGGGTACTTGAAAGTCACATACGGTGAAAGTCCTTTCCCAATTTTGGGGCCTCTTTCAAGGACATGCCACACCAATGCCGCAGAACAAGGATCAGTGCATGGGGGTGCTAGCAGGGTTAGCGCTGCATGCAGCAAAAGCAGGAGTGAGGGTAAGGGTTACCGGGCAGTGGGAGCTTGCTGGCAGGCGGTGCGGGGGGGTGGCCGGCGGCGAGCTACTCACGGGCGCGGCAGGTGCGTGAACGTCGCAATAAGCCGCCTTGCGCACATGCAGTCCTGTGGCTTCCTCGAGGCGCATGTAGAGGCCCGCCTGCTGGGCACAGGTCACGTGAAAGGCAGTATAGCAGTTCGCCCGGTGACACTGGATGCAAGCGCCGACGCCACGCTGCTTGCAGATGTAGCAGGTGAGCTTCCAACGGGCGGCCGGTATGTTGCCCAGGCTGTCGATGGGCTCGAGGAAGACCGTATTCGCAAAGCACACCTCGGGTACCCAGAGAGCACACACCACATGTGCCCAGCGGCCATCGTCCGTCTGCTTGAAGGCCCCGCCTTTGTTGGGGCAGAGCACGCAGTCCACGGCACGCGATGGTGACTGCAGACACCGGCGGCACAGCCACTGGCCTTCAGGAATGTAGGGCACGCCGTAGCACTCCTGGTGCACCGCAAGGTTGCACATGTCACAGAACAGGATTGCATTTGAGTTCTGGCACTCGCCATCACTGCAGATGGCACACACAGCATCCTCATCGATGGGCGGCCCCAGATCACGACCGCTCGTCTGACTCTGGAAGTAGGACTCTTTTTCGAGACGGTCCATGAGCAGCTCAAACGTATCGCAGCTTACTTCACCAAGACCCTCGGCGCGCCGTCGGCTGTTCATCAGCTGCAGCCAGGCACAGTCCTCCTCGTCCATGTCGTATTCCACAGCCTCGTCGAGCTCCTCAACAGAACGTTCCATAAAGCGGTAGTACGAAGCGGGTCTTGGGGGCGCGTCGGGGGGGTCGTAGTCTGGCACCAACCGGAAGGACGCCTCGGGCAGTTTGGCTTTCGCACTGGCGGCAGTGGGCTCTGGCTCGCTCGCGGCCTCGGGCTCTGCAGCGACCAGGTCCAGCGGCTCGCAGATGTTGATGCGGTGTAGGCAGCCATCAAGGTCCACCTCCACGATCTTCTGCAGGGCACCGCAAAGCATCGCATTACTAGGCGAGCTTACGGGAGAGGACTGACCGCGCATGGAAACAAAAGACGGGAAATGCGCCATAAAGGACCAGACACGTACAGAACAAGTTATGACACACTAAATCCCTCAAGGCATGATTTTATAGTGTCTTGTTGTGCATGCACAACTAAGACAGTGGGCACTTGACTGCAGCGCCAACTTTGCCAAAGGACAAGAGAATCAAGGTATAAAGAAGGCATACACATACTCTTCGTGCCTTAATTCTTCTCTCCTTTCGTTCAGCTCGCGCTGCAACTAAGTGCCCTAAATGACCTACCAGCAAGCCCAATTAGCAAGTCTCGTTAAATCAAAGGGCCACACAATACAATCCTTGAAAGGTGAACATAGCTCTAAAGTTGATTTAGCACTTCCAGGGCTTGTGGAGGTCCTATCATCCCTTGTAATGTTGTTTGCGCCATGTGGCACCCACGTGTTTCGTGGATAGGCCGCATTTAGTGTTCACAACTATCGAGCGGTAGGTGGCGTGCTCGCGAGTGTTTATTACCAGTATCATCATCATGGTTAGCATGGTAGCACCAGCAGTGGCACCTGGTGGCAATTCCGGGTGGCGGCACAGGACACACTGGTGAGCCTCTTTGGCGTGTGACGGTTGCAGTGAGCGGTTGTCTCGCCCGTGAGGATGGCACCGCGGGTCGTCGCTCGCAGGCCCTCATGGTGAGTGGAGCGTTGGTGTTGCCACCTGGTATTTTTATGTTGTTGAGTGTTGTGGAATATTGTGTATGGTTGTTTTAGCGTGTTGATCACAACTGATGTATTTTGATTCGGCTGACGGCTCGTCATTCTAAAATAAATATGTTCCTTGGTTTGATCCGACCCTGTTTGCTGTCTCCATTTGTTCCGAGAGCGCATGCTCATTTGGAGACCCCGTAGTAAGCCACATGGGTGCAACATAGCGTGTGCCACATGTTGTACTGGTGATCGACTCAGTCTTGCCTCAGAAAGGGTAAACCACAACACGCAACAGCAATGCTTGGTGTCATGCCACTGTGGGTCTGCCAAAAAAAACAAGAAGATGTACAGTGTTGCAGAAACAATGTCAACTGGCTGCATTGAAGGTCAGTGTTACACACACCAAGGCTCGGCAAAAATACTGTGAAATCATATTGTTACGTGATACAAATCAGCGAAGTATTTGAAATACAGATACCAAACGCTACTGCAATTGTTGTATCCGATACTAATGTGAAATCTTCAGCAAGCGCCTCCTTCCCATTTTCAGGGAGATTTGAACATGCTTCAATGACCGAGCAAGTGCCCCCCCCCCCCCTTTCCCCTTCTTGTCTCGCTACAAATTTTCAACTTGCTCTCTGCTACAGAATCCCGCAGCCCAAAAATCTGAAAGTCTTTGGACATGTGCACAATTTCTTAGTACATTTATGTGGCGTCTCGGGGTAACATTCAGAGTTACTATAGTTTGTTAGATCACTTGAAAAGCCACCTATACCCTTTGGTTTAATAAGAACAGTAAATGCATGCATATTCAATATAGCGTTTCAATAGAAGTGCAGGCATGCATTGCTCTTAGAGACACTTGCACTGCTATCTTGAGTTTTGGTCCATGACTCAAAATATTGGCGACTGAGCAAGGGCCCGCTCCAAATCTTGTCCAATTATCTTTCACCGAGAGTGGGGAGCTTGCACAAAATTTCACTATAAACTTTCCAGTTGTGTCTTGGGATACTTGGATACAATCACAAGGTTATCATAGAAATATGTAATGAAGCAAAAATGCCTTTGCCTAAAGATGTGCACTTGAAAAGTGTTTCATTTGAATGAAATGTTTGTTAGTAATAAAAAGTTTCATGCTTCTTGCTCAAAGTATATTGGCATAATTATGAATTAACTTAAAGAAGTCTGTTTGATATGACACTGTGCTGTCAGTAGTTTTTGGTCATTGCTTTTGTAACTGATAGGAGTCACAGCTGTACATGCTGACCAGCTAGCAGGCTGTGATCTAATTACAAGAACTTCAGCAAGGAGCCTTCACATGATTGTGCAAATACTGGTGTGAAGTTTTACCTTGTTCATAAGTGTATCACTGATGACAAAATACCAAATCACCAGACAGGATAGCATCAACACTGGTAGCAACCCATAAAGGGACATAAAGATGCAATTACATTTTATATTCCACTTATCTATTGGTCTAAAGCAGCTGTTACCAACGTACTCACTAGCATGCAATCTGTTAACAATTTTTTTTTTCTACAAGAAATCATGTGCACCCCAGACACATCTGAGATGTATCGTAGAGTTGCCAAAAGCATCGCAGGACATCGCCGCTACTGACATGGCTACTTATCGCTCCACCTACCTTGCGATTAGTAGCAGTAAAAAAATCTAGAGGCCATAAAGATGCCCTGCAACACTTTTTGAACATGGCCATAAAACTCTACCGATTGGTAGGTGAGGCTCCCAAGTACATGCGAGCCAAATTTTTTAGTGCAGCACGCGGCCTGGAATTAGCAATCGATTCTTAACATCAACTAAAAATTGCTCTTTCTTCTCTCGACAAATTATGCTACAAGCTCAAAAATCATTTGACATAGCCATTGTGTCAGCCATTGGCTCATTTAGCATGGTGCACTCAGTCGTTACCTGGGCCGCTGCGGAAGGCCACGAGTTGATTGACTGATATGTGAGGTATAACGTCCCAAAGCGATGATATGACTATGACAGGTGCCATAGTGGAAGGCTCCGAAAATTTCGACGGGAAGGCTGTGAGTTGTCCGCATGTGCACGCACGATCGCACTAAAAAGCCGCATATTTGGAAAAAAAAAAAAGAGACAAAGTTCTTAAAGGGACCAACATTCAATTTTCATGGTGACATTTTTTTGTTTAGCAGCACGAAAAGCTTACCGGTCAGTCAGTCTAATCACGAAATTTCAAAGTGAAAAACGATGCGATACATTTGTAATTAGTTTTTCTATCTGCAGCGAATAGGAAGTCGCATACTCGCATGCTGCAAACAGTGAGCTGCACATGTGTGCACTTCGCGCGCATGTGACACGGCTTGATTTGATCCACCCGAGGCCGCGACGGCAGCACCGCTTTTCACCATGCTACTCTTTTTACGTTGTAAGCAGCACAGAATTGAGCGGGGCTGGGTAATAATATACATACTTTATTTTCAGGACTGGCGCGCATGACAGAGTCAGTCTACGCGACAACGTACAGCAAAGTGATAGACTTTATATTTCATAATCCAGCTTCAATTCTCTTCCGCTAGCCTGCGCCACACGACGGTTTTTGTTACCTTTAAGTACGATTTGAAAATATAAATTTTACTCACAATGCGAAAGGAATGATAAATACTGCAACTATATTTCAGAGTCTTTTCATTTCTACTAGCATCTAATCACACTTTCTGGCCAGTTGTTGGTCCCTTTAAGGTCATGAGGTGCACGTGGCGTATTTTGCATCCCCATGCCATCACTGTCTGCTTGGCTTTCAGCGCTTTAGTCAGGACGAGAGAATGCAATTGCAGCGTGCAACAAATCTTTGTAACTGCACTCGTATTGGACGGATTCTAAAAATTTTTTGAGGCGGTGAATTCGTGAGGCAATAAGCTCCTTCAGTGAATCCATTCTATGGCTACTTGAAAGAGCATTTCACAAGGCCAAAGTGCAAAAAAGCATTGCTAAGCAGAGCAATAGCAATGAAAGCGTTCCTGGCAGCTGTGGTACAAACCACACCTTCCAATATACAGAGTGCAAAGAGGCCATTGTGTATCAGATTCCTTTATCATGTGGTGGAACTTACATTGGCCAAAGTGGAAGATGCACCAACGTTCGCCTGCGAGAACGCGTACGCTCATTATCAGAGTCAAAAACACTCTCCCTCGCCGCTCATTGTCAGGAATGCGGCTGCGTACCCTTATTCAAGGACACAATGATACTGTCGTGTCATAGAAATCAACTAGCAAGAGAAGTGATTCAAGCTTTTCACATCCAAAGAACAAACATTAAGTGTGTCAGCGTGCCGTCAATTGCGCTCAGCGACGCAGAATTCAGCTATCTGACTAGCACCTGCAGAAGATGATACCAATGTGTAATCTTTTTCCCTTGCTTGTGGCATGTTTGGTTGTTCTTGCTGTTTGGTGTTCTATGCATTTTCTGTTAAGTGGCACTTCACCCATATATCATATTTTTCTTCCCAAATAAATGTTAATTAGTTGCCAGTCAGCGCTTGTCTGTGTTCTTTTCTTCCGTCCTCGTCTCGTGTGCGCTGTTCAGCCAAGATGTTCGTATGCTAAGTCTATGGCACCCACAGATTACAATGTACTTAATTTTTATTGATTGGAAGCTACGTAGTATCCAGTAGATGCTTTCGAAATTTTATATGTCACGATATTTGGTGCAGGAATATCAAGGTGGCGTCACCACCCACATTTTCTTTTCACGCGTTTTCTCGGTTACTAAGCATCGTGTTGCGGTAAGAGAGGCAATTTCGGAATTGTGACATTGTACTTCACTAACACTGGAAAAGCAATTTTGGTCTTTAGTGTCCCTTTAACACTTCATATCAGGTTGCAAGCAATGTTTATTGTTTCTCACTTTGATGCCGTGATTAGTACATTAAGATACACAATACATTATTTTGTGCATTGAACATACATATACTGATACACATCTAGGGAGACAGGCCTCTTCACAGTACAGATACAAGATATCCAAAGGGTATCTGAGATAGTATCAGAGGTATATGTATATTTGATAGTCTAGCACTGACATGCACTTTGGTCACTTACAGGATGGAAACAGTGCCTTTTTCACTTTTTAATTTGAAGTTAGTAAGACTGCCATTACACAAAGACAATGGTTGCTTTCATAATGTAAAATGAATTTTATATATCTGGACATTTCAGAGATTGCTTTACCACTGACAGAGAGGCAGTTCCACAAGATGATAGTACATTCATCCCTTGTTCAGATTGTTTTTCTATTGAGTATTTTTTTAGTGACTCATACTAACTTGAACAATGCATCACACAGTGCTTCAATGCATCTTAAAGGATAATGCCTGCTTTCACCTGTCAGAGATCTTCACGCTGGTGGGCCAGCAACAATTCCTACCGCGCAAAAAATAAAAAAAGCCCTGTAAGTTGGCTTTATTGTATAAAAAAAAACTTTTCCAACCGAAATATTCGTTCAATGAACCCAGAGTGCCACACACTACCCAACGAAAGTTCTGCTTCCAGATAGAGAAAGGAAGTTACGGGAAGTGGCGTTTAGTTAGCCTGTTACGTATGAGCGCGCGCATGCGCGGTAACATCTTTCACTGAATGTCAACGACAGCGGGCCAATAAAAAGGAAGATAACAGCGATAGTTGTGTCGGGGGCGTGTGCGGAGAGCGGGTAGGGAAGAAAAAGGGGTTCAAACACTTCGCCGAGCGGGGAAACGTCGGCTCACCTGGGCCTCGGCATACGTGAGCGCCTCGCGTGCGGCCGGTATGAGCCCCGGCGGCGGTGTGGGAGAGCGCCGATTCTGCCGGTGGTGCCATCGTCCACGCTTGTTCTTCTTGCTACTCGGCGGCGGTGCAGCGGCGGTACTGCCGCCGCTGCTCCCGTCGTGCTCGAAGTTGTACAGGTGGAACTGGATGCCCGAGTAAGTCTTGTAGATGCGACCGCAGTTGGGCAGCGGGCATTCGTAAGGGGGCTTTGTCGCACGCAGGTTTTGGCAGAAAGCGCGCACGTCGAAACTGCTGCTGTTCACCAACATGGCGCTCGCTTCTCGAGAAGACCGGCGGTTTCCGCCCCGCGATGAATCGTCCGGACTGTTCACTCCACGGACGCGGCGGCCGCCGGCGGTGATGTTGCTGCTGTCGTAGTGGCGGCGGCGGCAGGCGATGCTGCTGGCCGCCACCGCGCTGTCCCGGCGCTGGGACGTCGATCGCGGCGGCGCATTTCCTGCGGCCACATCACGTCAAGAGCTCAGTTGGTTTAACTGCGCCAGTCGTTTCTTCTCCAGCCAGTAGCGATAGGTTAATGCCGGTGAGGAAGTAGAAAAAAGTAAACAAGAAAAATGCGAGGGACACACACACACACACACAAAGTTTGTTGATCGACTGACACGGGGACACGGCTGCCCAAGGTTGCCGAGGCGCTTAATCGTCAGCAGCAGCTTTGTACGTATGTACGTACATTACATGCGTAAAACTTCCACTCAATGGCGTCCGACCGTCGATCTTCTGCCTATCTAAACGGCGTTTTCGTGCCTGCGAGACGATCTCGCTTTGCCGGCTCGGCCGCTGTGCTTCTGACCATATTGGCGCGCTTTTTGAAAGTATTCAAGCGCGAGCCGTGATGATTGCGGTGGTGGTGATAACCACAGATGCCACAGGTCCCTCAAGAGCTCACTTCTCGCCGACCAGCAATTGGCCGTCCAGCAGGCCCACGAAGCGGCTGCCAGGTACTCCCTGTCGCCCCCTACGTGGCAGACGCCCGCTACGCGCTAAGCGCGTCCTGCAGGACTGAAATAAAGTTTATATTTTTTTTTTCATTCCATTCCACAGAATACCTACGACTAAAAGCTTGGTGGTCAAGGAAGGTACGCTGGAACCGCCTTATCAGAAGGCGGCACCTGGTAGGTGTTCTGTGAAGGCACCCACAACTAATACGCGGGGATCCCTAGTACGGGACACCACCGGCGTCGGCTGCTTCCTGGGCTCGACGAACCATTAAGGTATTTTGGGTCTGAAGGTTAGAGCAGCTTAAGCAAGGTCTCTTTCCACACCTCCAGGGTTGAGTTGGAGCCGTGATGCTGAAGAACTCAATGCGGCAGTCCGCAGAGTAAACCATTAAATTATCAAATTTCTTTAAAGCATAAAAGTGATTTCACGTTTAACACCTTCATGATGGAGTAAAATTTTGTATAAATATTTTGTGTATATATTATTTCGTAGAATTTCTCTACACTCTCCCTTATGTAACAGCCCCAAGATGGGTGTTACATAAGGGGCGAGTGTAGAGGGGTCTTTAAGGTAATAAAATGAAATTAAAGTATCATACTCCTATTGTGGGTGTGTTTCATAATCATATTGTAGATTTGGGATGTTAAACCCCAGCAAATTGTCGCACAAATCTTCATCAGCAGAATTGGTGGCAATCTTTGAAGCAGTTAAACTTATCTGCGTGAATTCTGAGCCACCAAAGTGGGTGATATGCACGGATAGCAAACCTGCCCTTCAGCCAATCAAAAATGCAAGATCCCCTTGCAAAAATGGTGAAATAGCACAATGTATTGCAGAAACTGTGGAATATGCCTTAGCGCAGAGTCGCAACATAGTATTCCAATGGATACCCAGTCACACTGGAATAAAGGGAAATGAATAGGCTGACAGCCTTCCCATGAAAGCATTGAACGAAAGACTGGATTGTGCAATCCCTATGTCTGGGGTGGATATTCAACATTTTATAACACAAGGAGCTAACCATTGTTCGGTAAAGAAGTGGTTTGATAGCCCTGATCAAAGGAATCAGTACTTTATGAGGTTGATCCACACAAAAAATTTTTCATAACGACAGATCTGTCACGACACTTCAAGGCATTATTTCACAAACATCACTTGGAAGTAGCATGCACAAACAGCTTCCTGCACAAGATACATCGATCCAACTCCCCGGAATGCCATTGCTGTCATGCAGAAGAAAATGTTCGCCATATTCTTTTAGAGTGCGTTAAATACGCGAATGAAACAGAAAAATTAAGGAACAAATTAGCAAGTTTGGACAGATGGCCCTTCATGTTAAAGAAATTACTTGGACCATGGCCTGAGATGCATCTTCAGGAAAAGGCAAACACCTTCCTGACAGACTTCTTTGTGGAAACCAGACTGGATAAGTGCCTGTGATAGACAGCCAGGGATTGATGTATATGAAATGTGTTAGTTCATATACTTACAGTAGAAAAGGGAGGTGTGCATGTGAACAGTTTGACAGTGTGAACTGCTGCAAGCAGACTGTGCATTGGCATGATAGTTGAACTCGTTTCAGTGTGCTATTATGTTATTTTTTTTTTCTGGTTGTTCATTTTTTGGGTACCATTCTGTATTATTATTCTTTTTTTCTGCAGGACTTATTGATATGGAATAGCTGAGGCGATATGTATCTCAACCTTTCCACAGCAAAACAGAACAGAACATAACTGCGTCAGGAAACGTCTTGCCTAATTAGAGAAATGCAGCCCTCTTTAGAAGAAGTCAAAGACGAGTAACAATATCCAGGTTTTAGCCACAGAAGTGTTTTAAACGCTGTATAAAACATTCTACGAGAGTCTAAAAGAATTGTCTGTTGGGTGTAACTTAATTCAGTCTTCTTAGTTAAAGTTGTGCAAAATTTCTTTTTGGGTTTGTTGACTTTAGTACTCTAAAAATTTTTTGTAATTTTATGAGGTTAAATTATTAACCTGTAATGACTAAACAATCCATCGTCAACCCATTCCCTCAGTAAGTGAATTAGTTTACTCAGCAATGCTCTGTCTGATTCATGGCCTATCCCCCCGAATGGGTTGCGCCAAAATCGCCTCTAGTGCCCCCCCCCCCCCCCATTGGCTGGTGTGCCGACAGGTGACTTATTACCACAGCTTGTGGCAGCGTTTATCAAGATCAAGGACTATACAAAAAAACGTTTTTGTGTGTAGGAGATGAACTTTCTAAAATTCAGTTTTTTTATTTGGAAGGCTCAAAGTATATATGTGCTCAAGGGAGTTCCAGCAGTTACTGCACCATCAAAGTTAGGATGTAAATTGTACTTAAAATACATTTAAAATGCTATCACAGTGTGTCTGCAAATAAGTTTTCCTTGCTGAAAACTGCTTAACAGAAGCACACGTGGGGACGAAACAAAGGCGCAAATGTCAACCTTATCTGCTGATTCATGTTTGTCCTGCTTTTCAACTGAGAAGAGTCTGTATCATACTCTGTATTTAAATATTGTTATTTGGGTACAGCTTCAGTCTGGTTTCAACTGGACTACACTGTTACTTTGTGCCTTGCCACAAATGAGAACCAGTTTAGCATTTTCACGTTAATGTTGCCACATGTGTGCTTGACGTCACGGAAATGTGTACACATGATCTCATGACGCATCATCTGTGGAAGGGATGCCAATGGCTGTGGGTGGAAAGAGAGAAATAATTTTTATTTTGATCACCAGCAGATGGTGGAGAGCCAACCCTGCCAAGATGTCAGCCAGGAGCCCTTGGCCTCTGGGAGCATCCTCAGCCTACTGGACGGCTACGAGTTGGTCCTCAGGGGCAGTGCTGAGCAGCCTAGTCTCCCACTGCTTGCCAGTCTGAATTTTTTTTCGGGCACCCAGGGGCGAATCCAGCAACTTATTTGGGGGGGGGGGCTCTTGTTTTTAGTCATTACCATCAAAGCATAAGTACTGTTAATACAGAACACCATCAAAGCATAAATACTGTTAATTTCTGCTCACAGTGGTCCCACTCATTTGTCCTGGTCACTGATAGGAGGTGGACGACCAGCACTAGAGAGAGGGGAGGGTGATCTACCCTACCACTCCTCCTGAATTTGCCGCTGGGCAGGTCTAAATAATATCTAGGTCTGCCCTTCTCGACAAAATTTATATTTGGCCAAATCCAGTGCAATTACATCTGTGGGGTTAGATACATATTCAGTGCTCTCTTGTGATTGCTTTTTGTGCCATAAAATCAATTAAGTTGGATACATATTAGATGCGAAGCATCTTTTTTACTAACCTGTGCAACGCTGTCGCTCCGTCTGCACCACGCTCCCCTGACCACAGGTGTGTGGTCAGTGCCAAGTAGGTCACACCTTCCCTCGTAGTGCGCATGCGTTGATGTCACTCCCTCGCTAGCCTGTCACCGCGTATCATCTCTCTCACTTCGCCCTCTCTTCCGCTCGCAACGTTTGAGCGCACACCAAGTGGAAAAACTCTTCTGGCTCGTTTATTTGCCATGAAGCTTACACAAAACCCACACCGCCTCCTGTATTTTTGTGTTTCAAAGAAACTTTTACTTGAGTAAAGGTTACACTGAGTTTCGTTTTAAACTATTCTTCCAGCATCGATGTCAACATCCATCTCAACCGGGCCTACGGGGGTGCGCACCACTGCTGCTTCGCATCACATTATGGTCCCCTTCGGGGAGATGGTCCATACTTTTTTGGATTTGAGGAGATCCATGGCACCACCTGCTGCTTATTAAGCGAGTGGAGCATTGGAGGGAAGCAGGCCCATCCCAGTCTGTAGTAGTTCATAATCTCCCCTTAGCTAACTATCTGATTTCCTCTCAGCTGCGGCACCCCATCTAGCGAGTTTTCGAGCCACAATGTCTGCCACTTCGTTGCCAGGAACGGAAAAGTGCCAGGTGATACGGACAACTTGCTGTCCGTGAAAGTTAACCAGGGTTCGTATTGCTTCCTGCAAGTTGTGCCCCTTTGCGTAATTTAAAATTGCAGTTTTGGAATCATTTGCTACAATAATGGCCAGAGCAGAAGCCATTGTGAGAGTTGTCGGGCACCTTGGTTGTGTTAGTTTTATCATTTGGCTGATATATTCTAATTAGTTGTGTACCCTGTCACGTCAACAGGCACCACGTCTTTAAAATGTTGAAATTACTCTGTATATCCCTGCCCAACTTTCGGGATCTGAAATTTAATTCTCATAGGGACTGCCATGCACGAGCTAGCCCAGCAAATGTGTTTGCCAGCTCATCAAGCACAGTTTCTGCTACAAAGTTTGTGAATCCAAAGCTGCAGTACCTTCTGCCACTCAATAATGCAATAAATCATAACTAAAAAGTTCAATAAACAATTTTGCTAAGAAAAAGCAATAGATCAGCTATTCAATAATGAAAATATAGCTTATTAGAAATATGCTATGCACTGCCAGCTGTTAAAAATACCAGGAGCAGGCAAATTTATTCAGGCTTCTCACACAAGTAGAATTCCTTTTTACACATTCAGTTTTCAAAGTGTGCTGTCTTATTATTATGCAAAATTTATAACTATCTGCAAGGGTCGCTTACATAAAAGGCGGGCTTACGTCAATTGTACGATGCATCAAGCACGGGCCTAGCACTAGCTTAAACTGTATTAGCAAAATAAATTGTGTTTGCTCAATCTGCTCAGTTATGCATCAAATGACACATGTTTCGATTTGAAAGTGCGCGCTTTAAGACGTGCCGCCTCAAACGCGGCCACGGCTACGCAGAGAAACTAGAAAATAAAAAAATCACAGCGAACGTTTCGATTCCAGCACAACAGAGAGAAAGGTCAACAACTCCTTCGCGAAGCAACGTGAAAGTATACGCGTTCCTTGAGGCGTCAGGGAGACTTGTTTGGAGGACGCACGAACTAGCTCTGAGAAGGACACATATGACGTCCCGCGGAGGTCCTCTCAGCACCGGGAGCACCCGTCGTCCGCACTGTGACTACGACAAGGTCTTTCCTAGAAGACTCGTCGTTGCATCGTTCAAGGCACGACCTACGACTGTGGTGTTAGATTCAATACTGTTCGCCGATGATGCCTTGACAGGTTCGGTGTTGCCTGAAGCCTTCGTTTCGGTGCTTCCAGCCAGTTTCGATTTGGCGCCCTCTTCAGCAGCTGGCGGTGGCGGCGCGACCACGAAGGTGCCGGCCAGCCTGGTGAGGTGCTTGATCTGCGCCTCGTGATGTTCGACGCGTAGCCGCAGGTCCTTGACTTCGCACTCGAGGCAGAGATGCTTCTCCTCCTTGGCGTTCTCGCGCAGCCGCTCGTTGCGCGCTTGGCGCATGTACTCGGCGATCAGCGTGGCGGCGGCCGCAGCGAAGATGATCATTTCGCCCAGCAGCTCGGCGCCCAGCTCGATGGCCATCGCCTCATTGAGCGGAGGCACTTCGGTGGGCTTGCCCAGGTTCAGGATGCGCATCTTGACGTTCACCTCGACCCAGTGGTACAACTGCGCCGGTGGCATGCACACGTATGTACGGAAGAAGGGGCTGTTCTTGGCCCCCTGCTTGATGCGGTTGGCCAGCGGCTTGCTGAGCTGACGGAAGGCCAGTGCGGCCAACTTGGCGATCGGAAACGCAGCCACGACCATGATGATGTGCCGCCGCTCATGCCACACGAGGCGGGCACGGAGAATGCTCGAACTGGTAGGTGTTCTGCGACACCGTTGTGACACCAGAGGTTACAGCTGGTAAGTGTTCTGTCGTTACACTCGCTCGTCTCACCTCCGCCGGTGAGGAGAGGTCACAGCAGTTTGTTTCAGAGTTGGATAGGACCATGGATTGGACTGGATGTGTGGCTGGATTCACTGCACCGTTACGGTCATGACCTACTACACTCCTGACCTGCCCAGAGAGCACCTCTTCCAGCGCCCACGTTCTAGTTCATACCTTCTGCCGCTAGGGCCGTCACCTACGAGCGGCGTGGCGCTAGGCAGCACCTGTTCGCTGTCGTCTGCTTCAGCCATCGCTGTGGCAGTGCAAATCGTTCTTATTGTGCATGAATTGTGTATGAATGTGTAAAATATGGCAAATAAAGCGATATGATTCCTCGTCAGAGTTGGCTGCATTCGTGTGGACGTTTGAAGCAGAAATAGAACCGTAAAAAAAGCACACAAAGGGTCACAGTGGCAAGCAGACGGGAACTTTTCTACAAATGAAGGAAAATTTATTATGAAAATATTTCTTGAATGAAAACGTAGTCCAACGAGATAAAAAAACTATTGTTAGGCATTCATTGTTCACACTGAATCACGATGGTTCCAGACGATACGCATACACAAATTGCAGAAGATACGCAGAAACACAGTAGGTCGTGTGCAGAAACTTGCAGACGGCAGATAGCTGCAGTAGTCAGCTCTAATAGTGGCCGCGTGCAGTTTTTTTTTTTTAGATGAGCTGACACCTCAAATGTAAGTATGGTGTATTGCTGCGTGCCATATTGCAAATCGGAACAAGGCAAACAAAGTAAAGTAAGTTTTCACGAGTTTCCTGCCACAGACATACGGGAAGAATGGATCGAGGCAATTGGAAGAAAAGGTGAGTCTTGTGTTTTTGAGAGTCGTTTCAATTCAGAACGAGTTGCAAGCTAGCAAGAAGCACCAGGGTGCTTTAGTAAACTTTATTTCCGTGTGTTATGCTAATTCACTGAGCTAAAAAACATGAAAGCTTTTTTAAAGTACCGCGGCTAATATGGCAGGCTCCACAAATAGTGCCAAGAAATTTAAATATAGCACACAAGAAAAAAGTAAATATACGAAATCTGTAAATTATGTAAAAATGCGTAGCGGTGGGTTGCGAGGGGTTCGAGCACCCTTCCCGAAGGCTGCCTCAACAAATGCCGCCGAAATCCATAAAAAAATTAATGATATGAAATATTTACGTGCTGCCTCCACAGTTTGTCTCTGTGTGTGTGTGTGTGTGTGTGTGTGTGTGTGTGTGTGTGTGTTTAGCGATGGACAACTCTTGAACACTGGGTGTCACTGAAGTTAGCGACCGAATTTGGTCAAATGTATTTCTCATCTCAAACCTCTATCTTCCCATACAGCTTTGTTCGTTTCTGTATAAGCTTACTTAAGGTAATTAGAAACGTTACGCCGGTAACGAAATGTGGCGATTAACTGTTCACTCTATATAGGGCTGGCAGGCGGTCGGGTATAATGACATAATTGAAGTCCTTCGTGCACGTATAGGCAGTTTGTCACAGAAGCAGACGCATGGTATCAGTCCGTCGCCCTCCTGCCGGCCGCACAGTAGCAGACGAACAGGTTATAGGTAGCGCCACCTACGGCGAGCGATTGAACGAGAGCGGGGACACGCGCTCCCATAGGAACCCCGCTATCTGAACAGGTCAGGAGTGTAGTAGGTCATGGTTACGGTTACTAGAAACAACGCCTCCTCTAAACAATGCCTGAAGAATGGCTCGCGCTCCCAGCGAAGTTAGCCTGCCTTCAGTTTTGAGCAAGCGCCGCGCGGTGGCGCTCGCGACCGAGACTATTGTCTAATTCTAATCTAATTAGACTCTTTGAGCTAGAGCTTGCTAAGACGCGTAACAAGTCACCCCGGAAAAGAGGACACAAACCCAAAAGTTGGTGGGATGAGGAAGTTAAGAGAGCCATAGCAAAACGTCAGGAAGCCTCTAGGGAACACAGACATGCTAAGCAGCGGAGTGAACCGACAAATGATGTTGAAAGAAAATGGGAAACCTTTCTAAGCTGTAGATGGGCTGCATCCCTTCTGATCAATGAAAAGATTAGAAGAAAGGAAGCTAAGTGGCTGGCAGAAGTACATAAAAAAGATAGAAAGGCAGCTGCGAAATTTTGGAACCATCTAAACTCCCTAAGAAATGAGACGAGCCTAGAGCAGAGTTTTATAACTACAGCCCAAGGTGCCAGGCTCGAAGGGGACGAAGCTATTGAATATATAAGAACAAGGGTGACACAAAAATTTCAACAAAAAAGTACTTTATGCACCACAATAGACAAGGACGAATCAAGTGGTGCAATGGCTCCATTTTCACAACAAGAGTGGGAAAGGGCTGAGAAAAGGGTTCCTAGTAGTACATCAACAGGCCCAGAAAACATTCCAATTAGGCTGATAAAGACATTAGGTCCGAAGTCTAAGCAGGCTTTGAGAGAGGCAGTGGGCAAAATAGTAATCGATGGTGGAGTTCCTGATGGATGGAAACTTAGCAGGATGAGCATGATCTATAAATGAAAGGGAGACAAAGCTGACATAAACAACTACCGTCCTATAACAGTGACATCAGTGGTCTACAGGCTGGCGATGCAGATTATAAAGGAAAGACTGCAGGCATGGATAGAAGATGAGGGGGTGCTGGGGGAACTGCAGAATGGGTTTCGGAAACACGGGAGGTTGGAAGACAATCTGTTCTCACTGACGCACTGCACCGAAATAGCATAAAAGGAACACAGGCCCCTGTGGCTAGCATTCTTGGATATCAAGGGAGCGTACGATAGCGTGGTTCAAGAAGAATTGTGGGTAATACTGGACACACTAGGCGTGGAACATGTAGTCACTAATCTTTTAAAGTGTATCTATAAAGGTAACAAGGTAGTTATAAAGTGGGAAAAACAGGTATCGAAGCCTGCAGAAGTAAAACGGGGGCTTAGGCAGGGGTGCCCCCTGTCACCCTTATTATTCATGATGTACCTACAAGGATTAGAGGCAAAATTAGAAGGAAGTGGGCTGGGCTTCAACCTCTCTTTAGTCAAACAAGGAAAACTTATTGATCAGGCACTACCAGCATTAATGTACGCAGATGATATAGTGCTAATGGCCAACAACAAGGAAGATTTGCAGAGACTGATGGACATCTGCGGTAATGAGGGAGATAAGTTAGATTTCAGATTCAGCGAGAAAAAATCGGCCATCATGATTTTTAATGATAATGAAGGTAGTGAGCTTAGGATACAGGAGGTCACGCTAGAGATAACAGATAAATACAAATATCTGGGTGTATGGTTAAGCAACGGTACCGAGTACCTGAGGGAACACGAAATATACGTGACGACTAAAGGTAACAGGAATGCAGCAGTGATGAAAAATAGGGCACTGTGGAATTACAATAGGTATGATGTTGTGAGAGGAATATGGAAAGGGGTCATGGTTCCTGGGCTGACGTTCGGCAATGCGGTTTTGTGCATGAGATCAGAAGTTCAAGCAAGATTAGAAATTAAGCAACGTGGAATAGGTAGGCTTGCTTTAGGAGCTCACGGGAATACACCAAATCAGGGAGTACAAGGTGATATGGGATGGACATCATTTGAGGGCAGGGAAGCTAGCAGCAAGATAAAATTTGAGAAGCGATTCAGAGAAATGAAGGAGGAGCGTTGGGCTAGGAAGGTTTTCAGCTACTTGTACATGAAGAATGTCGATACAAAATGGAGGAAGCGAACCAGGAAGTTGACTGGTAAATACTTAGAAAACATTGATCAGGTGGCCAAGCCAGAAAGAACTATTGGTTAAGAAGAAAGTGAAGGAAACGGAGACTGACATGTGGAAAATGGGCATGATTAAGAAATCCGTACTAGAGATCTATCGAACTTTTAAGCAGGAAATTGCCAAGGAAAGGATCTATGATAATACTCGGGGTAGTTTTCTACTGTTTGAGGCAAGGACGGGAGTACTGCGAACCAAGACATATCGGGCCCAAATACGAAGGGGTAGACACAGTATGCAGTGCGTGTGGAGAGGAAGAAGAAACTGCCGAACACTTGATAATGTTCTGTAAAAAGCTTCACCCTATAGTTCAGTATGATGGCGCAGAGTTTTTCAAAGCACTGGGGTTTAGGGACCGGGAGGGCAAAATAGACTTTAAGCAAGTAGACTTAACTAGAAGGAGGTTATCTGATTGGTGGCTAAAGTCAAGGCACGAGTGAAAATTAAACTCTTCACTGCAAAGTACAAATCCTCAAACTCACTTTTTAAGGAAAAAAAATAAATATAGTTTTGGGTTCATTAAGCATTACGGCTTGGTGGCAATAGCCACCGTCCGATCTAAAGCGTACAGCCATATCCATCCATCCATCCATTGTGAAGGAAACGGAGACTGACATGTGGAAAATGGGCATGATTAAGAAGTCCGCACTAGATATCTATCGAAATTTTAAGCAGGAAATTGCCAAGGAAAGGATCTATGATAATACTCGGGGTAGTTCTCTACTCTTTGAGGCAAGGACGGGAGTACTGCGAACCAAGACATATCGGGCCAAATACGAAGGGGTAGACACAGTATTCAGTGCGTGTGGAGAGGAAGAAGAAACTGCCGAGCACTTGATAATATTCTGTAAAGGGCCTCACGCTATATTTCAGGATGATGGCGCAGAGTTTTTCAAAGCACTGGGGTTTAGGGACCGGGAGGGCAAAATAGACTTTAAGTAAGTAGACTTAACTAGAAGGAGGTTATCTGATTGGTAGCTAAAGTCAAGGCACGAGTGAAAATTAAACTCTTCACTGCAAAGTACAAATCTTCAAACTCACTGTTGAAGGAAAAAATAAATAAATATAGTTTTAAGTTCATTAAGTATTACGGCTTGGTGGCGCTAGCCACCGCCCAATTTAAAGGATACAGCCATATCCATCCATCCATTCACCCATTATCACAGTGACGGCAAATCCTCCTTGGGCGACGGGCGGTACGACCAGACCAAGGAGGATATAAAAGTTTTTTATATCCTCCTTGGACCAGACCAGCTAAGCGTTTTTCACCAGCGGCCCATAGGGGCGCGTCAGTCGAGAGTTGTTCGAGACCTGCAACTGTACACTGCTAGTTCGGAGGCTATGCAAAGTGTTGC